GAGCTCCACCCAAGCATCCTCTCTGCTGTGGGCCCCCGTTCCCGGCCTGCTTGACTCTCAGGCCGGGAGGACCCCCAACCCTGGGGCTCTGTCTGGGCCCTGGGGCACCTCCAGGTGCCTCCAGACACTGGCAGGGAAGCAGCACCTGAAACCTTGCATGGGTGGGGCAGGGTAGGTTGAGGGTTAACAGGGGTGTGGCCAGAGTCCAGTGGACCAGAGCTGCCTGCCTGGGCTCACGACCCCCAAGTCCCACAGTCCAGACACCCCTAATGTCTCTCTGCCAAGGGGGTTCCTCTAGCCCCCCTTCCTAACCTCCAGAAAGGGGGTTGGCCCTCACCTTGGATATACCAACCTCCGAACCCCTGTCCCTGAGGAAGGTCACTCTGCAGAGCCTCTGCCAGTGGGCAGACCTTGGAGCTGCGGCTCCCATAGAAGGCGCTGGGGAGGGAACAGTTCTTCCAGGGTCGCTACTTCCCAGCCAGGGTGAAGCCTGAGGCACTGGTGCCACCAACTGGCCTTGGCCAGAACTACAATGGCTGAGAGATGGGGGTGAGAAGACGTTGCGGAAGAAAAACCCAGAGCCCAGCTAGATGGCTGTCCAGGGTGGTCTGGGTTCTATTCAGCCAGATGGGCCCAGTCACTTTTTTTTCAGGCATGCATCCTATTTGACCCAGAGAATGAGGCCTTAGACCCCCAGAGAAGAGCAGCTTCAAACTTTAAGCTGTATCTAAATCACCTGGGTGCTGGGTGGTTAACTGCCATCCCAGTTAATGATTCAGTGGGTATGGGGAGGGGCCTAAGTATTTGCATTTCTAACAATTTCTGGTTGGTCTGGGGACCATGCTTGAGAACCACTGCTTTAGCATTTCTGAGAATTTGGTCCAATGGTACCTTTGCAGAGTATGTCTTATTACTATATTTTGGGGGAATAAAAAATGAGTGTGAGAGTTCAGGTGTTTGCTCGGCCTCAGCAGTGACTCCACCGTATTTTTATTGAGGGCCCCCTCTATGCCCAGCTGGCCCTGCTCTAGGACTGGGGATAAAATAGTGAATGAGGCAGACACGTCCCTGCAGTGTTCCTCAGAACCCCCAGCCTGGCAGGTGTGTGTGGCGTGTGATGCTCCCACCTGGAGGCCTAAAAGGCAGCTCTGAGTAAGGCCCAAAAGACAACCCGATTCTTGTCCTGCTCCCCCTCAGGTCTCCCCCATTCAGTAACCAGCCAGGTAGCAAACGCCGAGTCAACCTGACTCCTCACTCCAGGATCTCCCGGCTTCCGGCTTCCGGCTGTCCCCTGGGGCCCTCCCTGAGCTGCAGCCACAGCAACCTTTTTAAGACAAGTCATGTCACCCCTCTGTTTACCCCCTCCAATGTCTTCCTATTACACTTAAAAAAACCCGAAATCCTGCCTTGGCTTCAAAGCCCCCGGCGGCCCTCCCCTCTCACTGCGCTCCCCGTGCCACTTGGCTCCAGCCTCCTTGCTTATTCTGCCCTAGGACTTTGTTTCCAACTGTTCCCTCCACGTGCAACGAACACTTCCCCCAGAACGGACCTGGGCTGGCTGCCCTTCCGCTCTGAAATGTCTTCACTGAGCCCGCTACTTGGTGTTACCTCCACCCCCAGCTACTCTCTGTTCTTATTAACTGGCTTTATTTTGCTCATAGCATTTCCCATTCTTTCAAACTATTAATGTGTTAGTTTGCTTGCTTCCGATCTCTCTCCCCTCACCAGAATGTGGGCATCCTAGGAGCAGAGATTGTCCTATGCACCCCAGGACCTGGAATTCTACCTGCACATGGCATGTGCTCAATAACTATTTGCTGAATGAATGCGATTATATAGGATGCCATGTAGGGTTATGCCCCTCCTGAGCCATGACATCAGGGAAGACTGTCCAGAGGAGGGAAGCTGAAGCTGAGACTGGAGGCCAGAAAGATCAGTTCAAGCAGGGAAACGAAAAAATAAAGGATGTGTGAAGGTCTTAAGGCATGGAGTGTTCTGGAAACTGTACATAGTCCAGTTGCTGAAACAGGAGATAGGGGCGGGGAGGGGAGGTCAGAGGAGTTGGACGAGCATCAGGCGGGTCCTGCAGGGCCAGGGCCTTGAGTGTTTTGAGCTCTATGCTGAGAGGAATGGGAAGCCCCTGAATGGTGTTACTGTCAGGCATTTTAGGGCACCAAGTGCAGAATGGTTTCTAGGGAGAACTCCTGGTGTGAAGGGGCTCTGGGCAGTGCAGTGCCCAGGGCCAGGCAAGTGCCAGTGCAGAAGGAAAGAGGTGGCCACCCACAGGAGACGCTGAGGAGGTGGATTGCCAGGATGGGCTGAGGGAGTGTGCTGAGAGAGGGACTTGTCATCAGTGACACCCAGGTCTCCAGCTCAAGGGACTAGCGAACAGAGGTGCTGTTCCCTAGAGTAGGGAGGCCACCAGAGGGGGAGCAAGCTTGGGGAAAAGAGCAGGGCTCTGTTTGGGACAGATGGAATTTGAGTCTGGTGGGCAGTTAAGACACACGTCAGTGTGAGGGAATGGTCCATGCAGTTAGCTGCTGAAGTGAGCCATCTTGGATGCAGAGGAAGCGTCCACTGCAGGGAGTGACCAAGAGAAAGGACACTGGTCTTGGCAGGAGCAGTTTGGCTGGAGCAGCCTTGGCATGTGTCAAGCTGGGAACAGAAATGAGAATGTAAAACAAAGAGGGAATAAAGCACAGATTCCCCTTTCCTGGGATCTGGAGGGAGAGATGAGACTGCAGACTGGGGCCAGTGTGCAGCTTGGCATTCTCTTATTTTAAATTGGGGAGATTTAGGTCCTTTGGAATGTTGAAGAAAGGATCCACAAGACAGGGAGGTTGGTGATCCCGGACGGGCAAGAGGAAGGGATCTGGAGCCCAGGGGCGGTTCCATAGTGAAGAGGGGGTGCCTCTTCCATTGTGCCAGGTGGTGAGAGCAGAGGCTGGCTTGGGGAGCAGGGCTGGAAGGTTTAAAGGCTGGAAATGAAGAAGAGTTCCTAGGTGTTGGCTTCTGTTTCCTCCAGAAAGTCACAGGGAGATCCTCGCTGCAGTGGGGGCTGCAGAAACTATGGGCATGTGAAAAGCCACTGAGGAGAGGGGCCACTGAGGAGCAGAGGGAAACTGGACTGTTGGGCTGGCCGAGTCCAGCTGAGAGTGGAGATCACAGGTTTGCAGCAGTCCTAACCTACCCCAAAGTGAGGTGGCTATAGGGCTTTTCCAGGCAGGGGTGATGTGAGAATCCCTGGGCAAGGGAGTCAGTGATTGGCTGGACCAGGGAGGGTGAGCTGGGAGGGAGGGAGGTGAAGATGGGAGGAGTCAATACTTTGGGAGAAGGGGAAGGACTTGGGGCCTGAGGAGAATGGAGAAGACCCCCATGACCAATAGGATGGGTGGGGCTCTGGGATGCCCCTGGGATGGATGAGGTGGGGGCACAGCTTCACTTTAGAAAGGGAATCCCCATTCTGTGGCTGGGCGTGCCTTCTGGCCAGAGGCCAACATGTGAGAGAAGGGACATGTGAGTCTTGCCAGATGTTTCCAAGGGGCTTTGGGCCTTCCATTGCAGGGCCACTGCTGGGAAGCTGCCCACCTGGAAGCTTCAGCTGGGGTCTGGTGGAGGCTTTGGAGCCAGGCTGGAGACCAGGACTCCAGGGTTTGATGCCCCCACATGCTGCACCATCACTAGGCAAGTCCATTCCTTGCTGGGCCCCTGGCCCTCCCCTCTCAGTGGAGACAGTGTGTGCAGGCTTGGCCCTACACCCAGAGGTGCCACAGGAGAGTAGGCCTTCCCACTGGGTGGGGGGGGGGTGAATGGAAGGGGGGCCTGGCTGTTCCCCAGTCATGTCTGGAAGCCCCAGGAATTCCTGCGCCAGGCTCCAGAGGGCCATCCGTTCAAGTGCATTCATTCTGTCAAGGAATCCTTACAACCCTGCCCAGATGAGGAGCTGAGGCTCAGATCAAGTGGCCTGACTGGGGTTGGTGGCAGATGCCCAGAGCACTGGCGCCTCCGGGCCCATTCCCTCCCCTGCCTTCTCCTAAGAGAGGATAGAGACCCCTTTCCATCTCAGCAGGGGCTTCAGGACCCCGCCTGTACCGAGGGGAGGCCAGAAAGACTGTTCCTGCTTTGGAGGGGGCTGGGTCACCCTGGGTGGCTCTGTGGTGCCCCTAGGTCTACACTCAGTCTAAGAGTGGACTTTGCTCTCGTTAAGGGCCGGAGCGGCGACGGAAGCCAAGACGATGACACGCGGGAGACGCCGGGCTCGGAAAGCAGAGGGATGGCGCGCCCAGGTCAGGGGAACCCCGTCACCGTCCCCCAAGGCGGGTCTTGCTCTCAGGCCCACGCGTGGCCCCTTGAGTCTGAGAAGCTCCGTCTGGGCCCGCCAGAGGGCGCCCGCGGCCAGAGAGGGGGCGGGGCCGGGGACCCGGGAAGGGCCGCCGCGGAGCCGGGGCCGCTCCGCGGAGTCTGCGGCTAAGGGCCGAGGGTCGGATGGCTGGCGGGGAATCCGTATTCGGGCGTCGGACGCTCAGTGGAGCCGGTTTCCGGGCCTTGAACGCTCAGGGAGCGAGTGTTTCTCAGACGTCGGGGCAGCTGGGATGCCGTCACCCCAGACCCTCCCCTCTTCCTCCTTTCACCCCTCCGTCGTCCAGCCGGGGGGCGGGGGGGGCGCCGGTGGGTGCTGCTCCTAGGTCGGGTCTGGGGCGGGTCTCCGGGCTCTGGCACTCCCGTGCCCCTGGCATCGGAGTGGCCCCTTGAGAATCCACGGATAGGGCTGGGGCTGGGAGCCCATTCTTGGGGGGTTCGCTCCGCCAACCCTCTCGGGGCCCCCCTTGGCTCCGCCCCGGACCCAGGCCCCGCCTCGCCCCGCCTGGGCCGCCCCGCCCACTCCCCTCGGCCGGCCCGGGAGCCCCGGGGGCCACCGCAGCCGCCTCTCGAGCGGCCGCCATGCGCGCTGGCCCCGCCGCCCCGCTGCTCCAGCTGCTGCTCCTGCTGGGGCCGCGGCTGCAAGCTGTGGGCGTCTCGGAGCCGCCGCTGCCCGCCGTGGTCCTTGCCATCCTGGCCCGCAATGCCGAGCACTCACTGCCCCACTACCTGGGCGCCCTGGAGCGGCTGGACTACCCCCGGGCCAGGCTGGCCCTCTGGTGAGAGAGACCGGACTTTGGCACCCACTGGGCACCTTCCCACCAGCCCCACAGAGAGCCTCCGCTTCAGATGCCCTGTCTACTCCCTGTCCAGACACCACCCAGACAGGCCCAGGCCCTTGCATGCAGGCCTGTCACAGGACCCCTTCTCCCCCTGGCCCTGCAGACTGACCTCTGGGGCCTTAGGCTGACTCCGGGACACCCACCCTGGCCCCTGCTCCCCCTCTTGGCACCTCTGGGTGTTAAGTTGGGCCCAGACCCTCTTGCCTTAGCCCTCAACCCCCATGGGACCGTCGTTGGCCTGACTTGTAATGGAGCAGACAGGATAGCTGGATCCCTTGGGGCCCCACGTGGCAGACATCAGCAGGACCGGGGATTCCTGGGGAGCAGGTGGGGTTGCCTGGGCTCCATGTTGCTCTGCAGAGTAGTCAGACTGGCTCCCCCTTTGCGGGGCTGGTTCTAGCCTCTTCCAGAAGAGGGGCTGGGTCCTGCCAACCAGGCATAGACCCTCCCTGGAGTCTGCATCCAGGCATCCCCACAGGGACTGTGGAATCAGAGGCCACAGTCTGTGGAGGCCAGAGCAGGGAGGAGGCCTGCGCAGAGGCTGGGGACAAGCTGAGAGAAATGACAGACTACTCTCCACATCGCGTGGGAGTTGGGCCGGGGGTGGAGCCGTGGCCTGGGGAGGCTGCCCACAATTACCACAGTTCAGGAGTTAGTTAGTTCCCACCCCTACAAGATTTGACACGTAGTTAGTCCTCACTTCTGAGGAATTGGCTTAAAGGAGCAGTACCACCGAAAACCTGAGGTCCTGGAGAAACCCCTTGCCTCTCTCCGTCATGGGAGCCCCTTCTGCAAAGAGGAGGAGGGGTCCTGCTCTGTGGCAGTGGAGCTTGGGCTCATCAGCGCTTCTCCTGGAGGCTCACAGTGTGCTCTGGTTCTTACCACAACTTGCAATGGAAGGAAGGAGCAGCTCCTCTCTCCAGTCCCGACTCAGACAGGAGAGGGGGCTGACCTGTCACACAGGGAAGATAACCAGGGAATACGGCAGGGTGTTTAAAGTTGAGTACATTTCATCTTTCAAAATGTATTTGCATTCCGTTATATCAGCCCATGAGCGAGGCAGGACCGCTAATAGTTACAGAGGGAGGAAGGGAAGCCCAGAGAAGGCCACGACTTGCCTGAGGCCACACAGCGGGTCACAGACCCGTGATCAGGACCTGGCTGCCTGCCCTCCTCCATAACACACCTACCTCTGCTGCACACAAGAGAGGCCAGCTTCCCACGTGTTGGTGTTCCAGGGATCAAGGCTGCCTTGGGGTTTGGTCCTTCAATGGCTCTGCCCCTCACCCTTTCCTCTTGTGTCCCCAGGTGTGCCACGGACCACAACGTGGACACCACCACCAAGATGCTGCAGGAGTGGCTGGCGGCTGTGGGTGATGACTATGCAGCTGTGGTCTGGAGGCCCGAGGGGGAGCCTAGGTGGTGATCTGAGGGGAAAGGTTTTGGGGAAGACGGGCAGCAGCTGCAAACTGGAGAGGAAGAGGGACAGCACCGAGCCACAGCCTCCAGGCCAGGGCTCCGTCCATTGCTCTTCACCTGCCCCATGGGAACATCCAGTCTCTTTACCCTCTCAGGTCCTACCCAGACGAAGAGGGTCCCAAGCACTGGACCAAAGAAAGGCACCAGTTTCTGATGGAATTGAAACAGGAAGCCCTGACCTTTGCCAGAGACTGGGGGGCTGATTATATCCTGGTAAGAAAGCCTGACCTAGGATTGGGCTTCCCACAGGTGGTGGTGTCTGTCCCTGAAAGAACTCTTGGCGTGACTTACCCACCTTAGGCTGGATCCTTCAGCTAGCAACATGGGTCAGACCCAGACCAGATATTGAGCTTGATCCCTATGCTTGAGTTCAGACTAGTACTTAGCCTGGATCCTTGAGACAGATCCTGGAGTATATATATAGCCTAGGTTCCCGGGCTCGAACCTATAGGGTAAACTGAGCCTAGTTCCCTAGACTAGAGCTCAGAGTAGGTCTTTCGTTCTACTGCCTCAGTCAGATCTCAGATAAAGTTCTTTGGACAGCAACAAAAGTCTAATCTCTGGACCCAATCCCCGAGCCATGCCCCAGACTAGATCCTTGGTCCTGAAACAGGTCTACTAGCTTATAGGTTAGACCTCTCTAAGGGAAACCCTTTGAATCCTGGGAGACTCTCTGGATCTCTGGCAATCTGAAGGAACTCTACTCACTGAATCCTTGGGGTGCTGTGGCCTTGTCTGGGGCCTGTGGCATCCTCCTCCCCAAAGTTTGCAGATACAGACAACATTCTGACCAACAACCAGACACTGCGGCTTCTGGTAGAGCAGGGGCTGCCCGTGGTGGCCCCAATGCTGGATTCCCAGACCTACTACTCCAATTTCTGGTGTGGGATCACCCCCCAGGTAAGGCCATGGATAGGGGCCTCAGGAGGCCTGAGGTCTGGATGGCAGGGACATGGCGGAAAGAGCCTACAGGCCTGGGGGTGTTCTGGGGATGGAGAGAGGCCCTCTTGCATCCAGAGCAACCCCTTCCCCAGGGTTACTACCGCCGCACAGCTGAGTACTTCCCCACCAAGAACCGCCAGCGCCGGGGCTGCTTCCGTGTCCCCATGGTCCATTCCACCTTCCTGGTATCCTTGCGGGCTGAGGGGGCAGCCCAGCTTGCCTTCTACCCCCCTCACCCTAACTACACCTGGCCCTTCGATGATATCATTGTCTTCGCCTATGCCTGTCAGGCTGCTGGTAAGGATCAGCTCTCCTTGAGCTTTCCTTGGAGGCGTCTAGGCCTTTGCACATGCTGTTCCCTCTGCTTTGCATGTCCTTCTTCACTCTGCAATTCAGCTTAACTCCTGTTTATCCTTCAGGTCATGGCTTTTCTTGACCCCACTACCCCAGTAGGTTAGGTGTCCTTATTCTGGCTCCATAGGTGTCTCTGTCCTTGTAGGTGCTCCATAAATATTAGGCAAATATTTATGGAGCACCTACAGTGTGCCAGGCACTGGGGAGACAGTGGTGACTCAAGCTAGGCAGTATCTGACTTCCTGGAACCTCCAGTCCAGTCCAGTCAAAGGATCACACCAATCAATGTCCAATCACAACTGTGACAGGAAGGAGAGCTTGATTACAGGTGCTCTGAGAGCTTAGATTAGAGTTGACCTGGTCAGGGAAGTCTTCCTGGAGGATGTGAACTTTGGGGCTTTATGGACAGGCATTAGCAAGGCAAACAGAGCAAGAAAGAGCATTTCAGGCAACAGGACCAGCAGGTACAAAGTCCCTGTGGTAGCAGGGAACACAAGGCAAGAGGCTGGAGCACGGTAAGAGAGGGAGGGCATGGTGCAGGCAGAGGCAGGAAGGGTAGGCAGGGCTGTCTGGTCTTTAGCCTGAGAACACTGGGCAGCCATCAGAGGACTCGTGCACTGGGTCACCAGCAGGACTGGGCCCAAGACTTCTCTGCTGGGTTCTGCCAGCCTTCTTCCCACTCCTCACTGGGCCTTTCTCCGCAGGGGTCTCAGTCCACGTATGCAACGAGCACCGTTATGGGTACATGAACGTGCCCGTGAAATCCCACCAGGGGCTGGAGGATGAGAGGGTCAACTTCATTCATCTGATCCTGGAAGCTCTAGGTGAGGGCTAGAAGCCTGTGTGCCTGCCTGCTGCCACCACGTCCAGCCTTCCATGTGCCCCTTCTCCTAGGCTCTGGACCTAGGGGCAGTTAGCCTCACTCCTAACTCATTCCCTGACTCTGGGCAAGTCCCCTTCCCTACTGGCCTCAGTCACCCATCTCTACGATAGAGAAGGTGGATTCTGTGATCCCTCAGGGCCCTTCCTGCTGGACATTCTGCCGAGGGGGCAGGAATGAGGTGGGGGGCTAGGACATCAGGGTCACCGCTGCCAAGAGCCAGGAGGATCTCATGATTGGGGGTGTTTCTCTCTGCAGTGGATGGCCCCCCCATGTGGGCCTCGGCTCATGTGTCCCGGCCCCCAAAGAAGCCCAGCAGGATGGGGTTTGATGAGGTAAGTTCCCTCAGCCTGCAGGATGGGGACCAGGAGGTGGGTGGGCTCTCCCCTACCCCTGCACCCACCTCCCTCACCACCTACAGGTCTTTGTCATCAGCCTGGCCCGCCGGCCCGACCGCCGAGCACGCATGCTGAGCTCACTCTGGGAGATGGAGATTTCCGGGCGGGTAGTGGATGGCGTGGACGGCCGGTGAGGCTTCCTGGGGACAGGCCTGGGCACTGGGAGCCGCCAGAGCTCCTGGGAGTGGGAGAGTCAGACAAATGAGTTACTCAGACAGGTTGTTCTCAAGTAGTTGTCCTGAGTGCTTCTGCCTCAGGGAGCCGTGCGGGGCAGGCAGACGCGACAGGGTGGCCTCCCTCAGCGCCCAGGGGGAGGAGAGCTCCCGGGCTTTGCCTCCAGCTCCGCCACTTACCAGCTGTGGGACCTCAGGCAAGTTCCCCGTCTCAGCCCCGGTGTGTAAATGGCAGTTCACTGTGCCTTCCTCTTAGGAGCTTGTGTAAGGGTTCGGTGAAGAGTTAGCCAGGGCCTGACCCGTGCCAAGCATTTCAAAGGTTAGGTGTCTTCGTGATTATTTCTAGGGTTCTTCTTCCGGTCATAGGTCCCTGCTGGGAGGAGGGTGGGAGCAAGCCAGTCATGTTCGCCAGGGAACCGGGGGTCCCAGGGCCCCATATGCCCCAGCACTGTGCCTGCAGGATGTCCATCCCTCACTTGGACCTCCACCCAGGAAGAATCCACCATGTTTGTCACATTCCTGGGCGGCAGTGGGGGTGGGAAGGCATTCCCTCAGGCTGTGGCCCTGTTCCCTGAGGGCCACTCCTGCCTAAGGCAGCCACACTATCCCTGGTCTAGTCACTGATGGCTTCAGGCCACACAGCAGTAACAAGACTGAACCCCCTGCAGACCAGACTCTAGGGGAACGGTCCCCAGAGTGCACAGGCCAGGCGCTCTGGCAGCTCCCTCACCCCCTATGACTCTGTCTCCCTCAGGATGCTCAACAGCAGTGTCATGAGGAGCCTCGGCGTGGACCTGCTCCCCGGGTACCAGGACCCCTACTCGGGCCGCACGCTGACCAAGGGCGAGGTGGGCTGCTTCCTCAGCCACTACAACATCTGGGAGGAGGTGAGGCCCCTCCGCACAACTCAGGCCTTCAGGAGAGCGGGGCCCCCAGACCACTGCCCCGTGCCTAGCACCCAGTCAACCCATGCGGGAATGGGATATTAACAAAGGCCCAGCCGGCAGCCGATCCTCCTTTGTGTTCAGCCCCATGCCTTATTCATCCTGCGGTCTCTGTTGAGCACCTACTGTGTGCTAGGAGACACTCTGAGAATACAGAGGTAAGCTGGAAAAATACAGCTCTGGCCCTCGTGGGGCTTAGGGACCAGAGGGGGCACGGAAAGCAAGAAAGAACCAAGCCCATCATGGAGGGAAGGTGTACAGGCTGCTCTAGCCTGTGGGCTAGCCCGGACTCCAGCCCTGGTGTCGGCGCAGGGTGGGCCTCGCCATCCGGGAGAAGAGCCTTCTTGACCGAGGAAAACAGGAGCAAAGGCCTTGAGTCAGAGGAGTTCTGCGCATTCAGGTTGGGAAGAAAGGCCTAGGGCGTGGCTGGGGCTTGCATGCCGGCTAGAGGCAGGCCTGGACCCTGCAGGAGAGGGCAGGGGACTGGCCCTCCAGGAGGTGGCACTCAGGCTGGCTCCTTCGTTTGCTTTCTATTGGAGTCAAAATCTATGCTTCTGAGCTTGTATTTCTGTTTGCTTTCTACTGTCTCTGAACAAACTGAAGGATGACTTACATTTCACTGATTACTGAGCTGAATGAATGTTCTTTTTGCACTTCCAGAAGTTACAGAAAGTACTCTTTCTCAGAGATGTTGGGGGTAGGTCTTCCTCTACCCCGCCCAGCCCAGCTTCCTTCAGGAACACTCATGCAGACTGAGGAGCTGGGCCCTGGAGTCCGGCAGACACAGGTTCAGATCCCGGTTCTGCTTCTTGGCTGTGTGTCCTTGGACACCTCCCTGAGTCCCCACCTTCTTATTCAGTATAGGGACATCGTGTGTCCTGCCTCCTGACGGTCCCCAGGATGAGCAGTAGCACCGTGGCACCTGGGCTCTAGTAGCACTCGATGAACACAACAGGGTTCTGGCTGCCATTAGGATTCCTCTTGGAGAGCGAGACGGGAGGGCCCTGAATGCCGAGCGAGGCACTGGGATTTCAGTCCCCAGGTGGTGGAGCTCCAGCTTTGGAGCAGTTGAGTGATGTGGCCAGAGCTGAGCATTTGGCATATAACTGAGACCAGAGACAGTCTGTTAGCCAGAGGGAAGGGGGCAGACTGAATCTGAAGAGCCATCACTCCCCCCACCGCTGTCACCACAGGTGGCTGCCAGGGGCCTGGCCCAGGTCGTGGTGTTTGAGGATGATGTGCGCTTTGAGAGCAACTTTAGGAGGCGGCTGGAGCGGCTGATGGAAGAGGTGGAAGCAGAGAAACTTCCATGGGACCTGATGTAGGCATCCTGCACCCCCAGAGCAAGGGAGAGGGGTGGGCCACTGGGGGTCTGCCTCCTCCTGCTGGAAGCCCTGGCCAGCCTTCTCACAGCCTGCTCTGTATGGTGGGGTTGGGGGAGTGGTCCTGTGACATCCAAGGACCTACAATGACTCCTGGGACCCGTGGTGTCCCCTGCAGCTACCTCGGCCGGAAGCAGGTGAATCCTGAAGAGGAAGAGGCCGTGGAGGGGCTGCCACACCTGGTGGTGGCTGGATACTCCTACTGGACACTGGCATATGTCCTGAGCTTGACAGGTGCCCGCAAGCTGCTAGCCTCCCAGCCCCTGCACCGAATGCTGCCTGTGGATGAGTTCCTGCCCATCATGTTTGACCAGCACCCCAAGTGAGCCTCAGAGGGCACAGGGCAGGGTCATCCCTCCCAGGAGTCCACCTCAGCAAGTAGTTATGTCACCTGGCTGGGCAGATGGGGAGACGGGCTGGCGAAGCCGAGTCATTTCCCCCAGGTCACCAAGGAGTAGCCCAGCCTACTCCTGGAGTCAGACCGACCTAGGTGGGAATTCTGTGCTGCCTGGGTGATTTTTAGTCAGGTGGCTTCCCTGTTCGGAGCCTGTTGCCCATCTGGAAATGGGAATACTAGAAAAGTCTGCTTTCCATGTTTTGAGGGCCAGGTGGGGAGGCCAGTGAGGTGCTTTGGGCACCTGTGAGATCTGGGTGGAGAGACCCACCTCAGCCCCTCTGAGCCATCCTCCTGCCTCACAGCGAGCAGTACAAGGCACACTTCTGGCCCAGGGACCTGCGGGCCTTTTCAGCCCGGCCCCTGCTTGCTGCCCCCACCCACTATGCGGGTGATGCTGAGTGGCTCAGCGACACAGAGACGTCCTCGCCCTGGGATGACGACAGCGGCCGCCTCATCAGCTGGAGTGGCTCTCACAAGACCCTACGTGGACCCCGCCTGGACCTGGCCAGCAGCAGTGGGCACAGCCTCCATCCTCACCCCCGGAATGAGCTCTAGGTGAGCGGCCCCAGCCCCGTGGCCGTGGTTTTCTGTCCCCTTCCACAGCCGACTGTGTCGGGTCTCTGCCCCCCCTTCGCAGCTTGCCTTCTCTCTGCCCTCCCCTCTCTGGCTTTGCCTCTGTCTCTGGGTCTTTGGCCGTCGGCATTTCTCTGTCCACCTCTGGTTTTCTTTCTCTTCCCAACTCTGTCTCACTGTCTGTGTGTCTGTCTCTGTCTCTTGCTGTCTGACTCTAGTTCTTGCCTTTCCTCTTGCCTCTCCTGTCCCACCAGGACCAGGTGCTGATTCCAGAGTTGTGCCCATGAGCAGGCGCAGCCAGCCAGGGAGCAGAGCTGGGGATCGCTGGCAGGAGCTGCCACCAGGAGCCAGCAGAGACCGGGCTACCACCTCAGGCATGGCCACTCCGGGTTACCTGGGGAGAAACCACTCAGAGACGGGTCCCCTTCCCCAAAGGTCACAAAGCAAAAAGGAAGGGCTCACAGGTCCTTTTAAACTTCCTGGCCTGACTCAGGGCCTGGGGGCTGGGAAGGAAGGAGGCTTCCAGCCTTCGGTTTCAAGCTGTGCAGACATTCGGAGCCCCGCCCTCCCTGAGGACCCAGCTGCTGGGGCCCCTCTGCCCCCTTCTACCTCCACCTCAGCCCTCTCCCCAGCTTGACGCCTGGGTCTCACCTGCCTGGGCCCGCCCAGGGCAACACGGAGTGCAAGGAGGTGGGAGGAGGACCCTTGCAGGCCTGGTGCCCGGCGCACAGTAGGTCCTCAATAAAAGTTGGCTGTACTTTATACTTTTAAACTCATGGCTGAGCCTCTGTGTGTGTGCTGAGGTCTGGGAAGGAGGCGTTCCTGAACGTTAGCTGAACAATTGGAGAGACAGAGGGGAGGGCAGCCAGGAGGAGGAGTCAGGCCGCCCTGGCATCAGCATCCCTTTGCTGGGTGATCTCCGTGGATGCTGTCCCTCCCTTGGTCTTAGTCCACTTGGTGGTAAAGTGGAGGTGGAAAGGAGTATTTCACAGACTGGGCGGGCATCAAGTGGCCTCTCCCAGAGCCCAGCCCACAGTGAGTGCCTGCCCACTGGGGCCGTCGTGGTCATCACCGACCCACCTCGCCTTGCTTATGCGTCCTTTCCTTGAACCTACATTTGTGCAACTGGAACCACTCCCCTGAGAGGGGTTCGGGGAGATCCTCGGCTCCCCTCGGGCCCTAACCAGTGTGCCGCCAGAGGGCACAAGATGGCAGAACCGGGACTTTGTGCGCAGGGCGCCCTCTGCTGGTGAGAGGCCAACAAAAGGGACGGGAGCTTGGGGCGTCCCCAGGGCTGCTGAGCTGCCTGCTGCCTCGTTCTGCTCATCTGCTTGGGAACGGCTGGCCTTCCTTTCCGTGTCCCCCATAGGGTCAAGCTTCTGGGCCCAGGAACTGCCTCCATTGTCTGCACTCAGGCTGCTGGAGGGGGTGGGGAGCTGCCTTAGCCTCCTCAAAGCAAGACTATGGCGCCAGCATCTCCAAGGTTTTCTTCGTCAGAGGAGCCCCTCTCCCGTGGCAGGCCCTTGACTCGGTTGTATAAGCACCTGGATCCTGGCAGAGTTGGGCAGGCACCCCTTGAGGCTAGGCTATCCCTTGGTTCCGTTCTGGGGATGAGGTTCAGCTGGCCCGGCTTTGGTTCCAGGACCTGGCATGGCTGTGACTTGGACTTTGGGCCAGAGCTGTGGGATTGGAGCTTTGTTCATTTCAAAAGTGAGAGCCCTTGATTCTGGATGGCTATGACCTTGAGCAAATCATATCTCCTCTCCAGGTTCAGGTGTCCCTTTCTTTCATTAAAATGTGCATTTGGTGAATACTTCCTCTGGGCAGATTTAGGCACCAGGGATGCAGCAATGAGTAAAACTGACAAAAAGTCCCTAACCTCCGTGAGCTGACATTCTAGTGAGGGAGACAGAAAAAAAAAAAAAAAGTGAACATTAGAGGGTGTTAAATGTTACAGAGCCAAATGAGGGAGGAGATATCAAGTAGGACCTGAGAAATTTACATCTGAATAAAGATTTGAAGGAGGTCAGGGGACAAAGCTATGGTGATTTGTGAAAGAAGAGGATTCCAGGCTGAAGGAGCAGCATATGCAAAGGGCCTGAGGCAGGAGCAGGACTGGCAGATTCAAAGGACAGCAAGGTCAGCATGGCTTGATTGGAGTGTTCAAGGAGCCACGTTCTGGAAATGAGGGAGCCAGAGTCAGGGTCATAGCAGGGAAGGCCTTGGAAGTCATTTTGGCTTTTATTCTAAGAGAAGGAGCCACCAGAGGGTTTGAGGCAGAGGAATGACATGGTCTAACTTATATTTTACCATGATCACCCTGGCTACTGTACCAAGAGTAAATTGTAGTTGGGTCCAGGGTAGAAACAGAAGACCAATTAGGAAGCCATTGTAATAAACCAGGTGAGAAACCACGGTGCCTCAGTCCAAGGTGTTAGCAGTGGGGGTGGTGGGAAGGCAGAGCCAATAATTTCAAAGGAAGGGGAGGAGGCTTTACAGAAGGCAAAGCCACTGCCCAGCTGTCTGGTGCTGTCTAGCTACGGCCAAACCCCACCATTTTCTCTGACATCAACGGCGAGCCCTTGGGCCACATGTTCTTCAAGCTGTTTGCAGACAAGTTTCCAAAGACAACAGAGAACTTTCACACTCGAAGCACTCGGCGGAAAGGTTATGAAGGTCTCGCTTTTGCAGAATTATTCTAGGATTTATGTGCCAGGGTGCTGACTTCACACATCATACAGGCACTGGTGGCAAGTCCATCTACAGGGTGAAATTTGGGGAAATTTCATCCTGAAGCACACAGGTCCTGGCATCTTGTCCAGTGCAAAGAACCCAACACAAATACTTCCCAGTTTTTTCATCGGCACTGCCAAGATTGAGTGGCTGGATGGCAAGCATGTGGTCTTTGGCAAGGTGAAAAAGGGCATGAATATTCTGGAAGCCCTGGAGCACTTAGGGTCCAGGAATACCAGGACCAGAAAGGTCACCTTTGCTGTCTGGACGACTCTATTAAGTTTGATTTGTGTTTTAACCACTGCCCTCTTCCTTCTCTAGCTCAGCAGAGCACCCTGACCCCTGCCTACTCACAACATCCTATGATCTTTCTGCTCTCCCACAGGTCTTTGGGTTCTACATTTTCCTTATCCCCCTCAGAGTTTAGCTGGACTGAAGAATCAAGTTTATGATTATGAAATAAAAAACAAACAAAAAATCTAAAAAGGAGAGGAATTAAGGTTTTCAGTTTTGGGTTTGAATTTCTGGAAGAGTGGAACTGCATTACCTGAAATGGAGACTGTGAATGGGGCTGGTTTGGGGACAGGTCAGGAGGTCAGTTTGGAATATGCAGAATTTGAGATCCGGGTATAATGTCAGGCGGTAGTCGAACACACGATCCTGGGATGCAGGGTTCGGGTGTGGGCTGGAGATAGAAGCTTCGAATCCCATCCTGGCCCCTCTCCACAAAGTCCACCACTAGTTACCTGGGGAGCTGGTTAAAAGGCAGACTCCCACCGCCCCCTAATCCCCACTGCCAAGAGGTTCTGATTCAGCAGGTTGTGGGGGAGGCCTGACTGTTCTTGAACAAAATCACCGCAGGTGATTCTTAGGAGCTGATGGGTTTGGAAACTGCTGCTCAATCTCCATAGAGTCAAGTTTACTTTGATGATTGATGACATGTGACATATGAAGTGTCTTCAGCACTATGATGAAGATATGGAATATATATATATCTGTGCCGCTTTGTAGTCCTCCCATCCCAGCCCTGTGCCACTGCAGCCCTCCCATCCCAGCCCCTGGAAACCACTGGTCTGTTTTCTGTCCTTATGTTTTTGCCTTTTTCAAACTGTCAGATGGATGAAATCATATATGTGGTCTTTTGTGTCTCCTTTTAACCAGCATATTTTATTTGGAAGTTTCATACCAAATGGGCTTTAACATCTTCCCTAATACTTTATATCGTAGTTTGTAATTCTAATTTGTAGGATTAAAGAATATGTTATGACTTTTTAATCAAGACTACCAAATACCTCCCAATATCCTCCAGATCATCACATGCTGTGCAAATACTTGGGTTTTCTATGTGTTCCCTGCTATGAATAGGAAGCCTTGCCCGGCTGCCTGGGGGAGGCATGGGAAACTGGGAGAAAGTGGGGATGTGGGCAAGAACCACGTCTACTACACCTCCTTCCTGGAAGACTGCTTCTAGTCTGTTTTGCCCCACCCTGCAAGGCTGGTACAACTGTACGCAGACCAAGGGACAAGGGGCTTTCCTGTGAGTGAAGGGCAGTCGCTTGCGAGCACTGGCCTTTTGCCAACAGTTATGCCTGCCCAGGGAGTTTTTGTCTTGTAGGTTCTCAGCCCAATTCCAGGTGCTGGAGAAGAGCCCTCCTTAGACAGCAGTGGTTTCTGCAATCCTTGGTGTGGTTCTGCTAGTCACAGCCTGGGCCCTGGAGGCAGAGAAAGTTAGTCTGAGTTTTGTCTCTGCCCCTTCTAGCTCTGTGACAGTGGGCAGGTGTTCTGGCTTTTGTCTACCCTGTTTTCTGCTCTGTAAAATGGGGTTTGCACTCATGCCGACTTCACTGGACGTTGTGAGGACTTGCTGAGCTACTGCAGGTAAGCCAGTGCCCAGCACAGAGGAGGGGAGGGCTGCGTTCATAGTCGCTGGCATCGTGGTGCCCCTCCAGGCGGTGACAGAGTGATCAGATGCCCCTGGGAGGTCTGCCTGAGTCAGAAGAAAGAGTGGGGAGTCGGCACTGGAAACAGATCATCTAACTTCTAGTTTCACCTCTGCCACTTCATTATCACTTGAACCAGGTCCTTCTCTCTGTAAAGTGCCTCAGTTTCCCCTCTGTAAAGAAGGGACATGACTAGATCTGCCCTCCAAGATGCCTTCTGCATGGTCTGGGAGGTGGTTCTCAAACTTTTGTCACCGGGAGCACTTGTTAAAACAAGATTGCTGGGCCTCACCCCCAGATTTTCTGACTCAGTAGGTCTGAGGTGGGGCCCAAGAATTTGCATTTCAAACAAGTTCCCTGGTGGTGCTGATGCTATGGGTGTGGGGAGCACACTCAGAAACCCTGGTCTGGGCAACTGGGGAGCCAGGACTCTTGGCCGAGCCCAGCGTCCATCCAACACAGAGGCCCAGGGTCCGTGAGGGGCTGGTCAAAGGGTCTGAGTGGAGCCAAGCCCTGTTAAGGCCTGGGAGAATTTTCTCTCCTGGCTCCAACCAGGACTTGAAATCTCCTAAGTCACCAGAAAGAAAAAGCCAGACCTCTGGAGCACAGACTCCCTCTCCCCAGGGCGGAGCTGCAGCAGTTGCGTCAGGCCCCTGAGGAGGTGCTCCGGCTTGGAAATAACCGGTAGGTAATTGGGCCCTTGGGCAAATGGCCAGGTGGGAGCCTGGCATCCCCCTGCAGCAGGCCGCCTGCTGGGTGGAGCTCACAGTGTCTCCTTCACCTGTGGTGATTTTCAACTTACAAGAGAGGCCCATGCTCGCTGTTGAAATTCAGAAAAACATCAGAAAAGAAAAACGCCAGTGTTAACATTTCGAGATAGTCTCTTCTGACTTAAAAAAATTTTAATCTCTATTATTTATTAAGCTAGTGGTTGCTCCGTTAGTGTTTATTTATTTATTTGTTTTGGTATCATTAATATACACTTACATGAGCGACATTGTGGTTACTGGATTCCCCCCATTATCAAGTACCCCCCACATACCCCCTTACAGTCACTGTCCATCAGCGTAGTAAGATGCTATGGAGTCACTACTTGTCTTCTCTGTGCTGTACTGCCTTCCCCGTGCCCCCCCAACCCCCCACATTATGTTATGCTAATCGTAGTGCCCCTTTTTCCCTTTATGCTTCCCTTCCCACCCGCTCCCCAGTCCCTTTCCCTTTGGTAACTTAGTCCATTCTTGGGTTCTGCGAGTCTGCTACTGTTTCGCACCTTCAGTTTTTTCTTTGCTCTTATACTCCACAGATGAGTGAAATCGTTTGGTACTTTTCTTTCTCCACTTGGCTTATTTCACTATGTTTATTTTACTATACATCTTTAAACTTAACATATGTATCATGTTATGGGTTGAATTGTGCCCCTCCCAAAGTTCCTATGTTGAAGTCCTAACCTCAGAATGTCACCTTATTTGGAAATAGGGTTGTTGTATGTGAAGTCAGTTAAGATGAGGTCATATTGGAGTAGGATGGACCCCTGATCCGACATCACCGGTGTCCTTATAAAAAGGGGAAGTTTGGACTCAGACATGTGCACAGGGAGAATGCTACACCCAGACAAGAGTTCTGCTCCCAAGAAACTACCAGAAGCCAGGGGAGAGCCTGACACAGATCCTTTCCTAGAGCCTTTTGGGGGGGCACAGTCCTGCTGACACCTTGAGCTCGGGCTTCTAGCCTCCAGACCTGTAAGACAATGCATTTCTACTGTTGAGGCCACTCAGTTGTGGTCTTTGTTGCAGCAGTCTCAGTGAATTAATGCACATCATATACCCTCTTTTGAAAATGTAGTTCACAACTAAAAGTTTTTTTACAAAGTACTGAAGAGAATATATAAAAGGAGCATAAGAAACACCCTTATATGGGAGTTATATACCGTCCACCCCTAATTTGCATTTTTTTCTCTAATATTTTTTTTTTTGTCTAGAAACACTCCTTTACAAAAATACTTAAGCATTACAGAAATTTGTAATTTACAAGTGAAAATCTTCCCTAATTCCACCTTCCATAAATCATCAGTCCCAGTAGTTCAGTGTATATTCCTCCAGATTTTTTTTACATGCATTTATTAACATACACATGTTATTTTCATGCAGAAATGGCATCACAGCCTACTTACAAGTTTTGCACCTTGCCTTTTATTTTTCTCAGCTAAATGTTTTGGAGATCTTTCCATGCCTGAGTAATTGATCTGTCTTCTCATTTCAGTGGTTCTGTAGTATTCTTTTGAATGTATGTAACATATATTCCTTTGAATATATGTAACAGGCAGCTAGGATTGATCTTTTAATCCTTCCACAAATAGTCACTTTAATTAGGCCTTAGCTAGGCCTAATTAATGTGTGAGATCTAGGATCTATCAGATCTCCCAGTCTCACCCTAACTCCCCTCTGTTCTTAACTGTACCACATCACTCATCCTTGTACCAGATTCCAGAGAGAAATAACATACACAGGGCATGCACTGGGCAAACGCTTGCTGCCTATTACTAATTAGCTTTTGCTCCAAACCCACAGAGTTTCCTGACCTACAAGTCTGGACCATGTGGAGCCCTCTTTGTTGCCTGGGCCACAGGCAAGCCACAGAGGACTCCTCTCTCACCTTTCGCTGAGTCTCTCACCCCTTTGGGAAGATAAGGATAAGTCCAAGGAAAATCACATTGTGGAAAACAAGAGCTGAAGGGGAATTTCTCATTAAGGTGTAAATCTTTGCGTACCTCCTTGATTATTCCATTTAAATCCATTCCTAGATGTGCAATTGCTGGGTCAAAGAGGATGCTGGTGTTTAAGGTTTTTGATAGATAATGCCCAGGTGTCCTGTCAAAATGTTATATCAATTTTTAAACCTACCAGCAAAATGTACAAGACTGCTTATTTCCTACTGTCCTCATCAGTGCTGAGTAGTGACCTTTAAAAAAAAGTGGCCAGGCTCAGAGGGGTTTGCAGTCAGAAAATGTGGTCCAGCTTCCAAAGTAATATGAGAATAACTCAAGTTCTTTACTTGTACTTCTCAAACACCACAAAGGGGACAGATACCGAGATCACAGCTATACTTTAAAGAATCCCCTTTTCTTCTCCACCTCACATACTTCCCTGTGCCCCTGCCTTCAGCATCCCTTCCCCCCAAATACTGCCCCCTCCTGTTTCCCATCTTCTGAGGATCTTTCCCTCCTCCTTCCTTCTGTCACCCAGCTCTAGTGTGTGTGTGCCTGTGTGCGTGCACGTGTGGGGCGACCTCTCAATCCTGCCCATTCTCAAATTCTCCATCACAAAAGCCTCGGAGGACCGCACCAGCAGGGAAGGACCCTGGTCAGATGGTGGGGAGGGGACAACACCACATAGGCAAAATCCTTCAACCGGTGGGAAGGGAAGCCTTAACTATTCAATCTGGTCAGCTGTGGGCTACTGGAAAACTGGGTGGGACGTATGGGTCTGGTGCCCCTCATGCTGGGTTTAGCACATAGTAAGGACTTAAATGCTGTTTCAGTGAATGCGAGAGCACTGATAAATGATCAACAATTCTGTTGGGATAGCAGGAAACATTTTACAGGCCTTGAGATAAGTTTATCTTGGGCAGCAAGGATTTCTCTTTCTCCAAAGGGGGTATTAAAGGATGGGGGCGTTAAATATGAGGGAGAGAATTACACTGGATGGCTTTCTTTTCTCTAAGACAAAGGAGCACTGGAGTAGGAGAAGCGGGGAAGAGGCAAGGGTTTGGAAAAGCCCCTGTAGGGAGGCTTTAGGGACAAATAAACAATTGCAGGGCAGTGGTGAAGGCTCAGCTGAGGGTGGAGGCAATGATCGGTGGATTTGATTTTGGCAGAGCCTCCAGTGGTTGAATTACCATAGGGACTGGGGATCCAAAAATTACTCAGGAGGGTGAAAATGAATGTTGGTCAAGGGAGTGGAGGACTCCTTAACACTGAGGAATGACTACAGTAGGTATTCGACGAAGAGAGCGAAGGCACGTGGTTGGGAGAGCAGGGAGCTGGGATCTAAGATCTCAGATGGGCCAGCTGTGTGATTTCAGCTGGGGGTGCATGGCTGAGGTGCAGAGGGGAAGGTCAAAAAAATGTAGATGTCAAGGAACTGAGAGGCCTGAGGTTATTAAAGTCTCCCAGAATCCAGGATAGCACTGTGCCCCACATGATACCACACACAATTGGGTTGACAGTGAAGCATAGTTGTTAGAATTCGGCGGCCCAGCGAGAACCTCATGGGAGTAGGTTTGTACACATAGCGGTGTACGGTGTGCAGGAGCGCTTGAGGAGCAAGGGGAATGCCGACACTTCCTCCCGTCCGCACAAGGACAGAGACTGTTGTGGGGGAGAGAGTTGGGTAGTGTGCAAGAGCTGGCGCCATCTCTGCACCAGCAGTGGGGTGGAGACAGCACTGATGTCCAGAAGCGGCACTCAGCTTCGGCCACCAACTTTTGCCACGACCCCTCTCCGAGTCCAGTGTCCTAACACATTTCAGAAGAACCGGGTTAGAGAGTTAGTGAGTCATGGGAACTCCAGGGCAGGGTAAAAATGACGGAGGCGGGAAGCTGGACTTGAACACCCGGACAAGCCCCAGCAGGGCCAGCGGGTGGCGTCGCGCGTCTCCACGGCGACGGGCGGCCTGGCCCGGAAGTGGGCGGGGCATCAGCTTGGGCTCTGTGACGCCAGAGACTGGGTTTAAAGGGCGAAACTCAAGAGGCTCACTGGGGGTTTGAACTGGCCAATGGGCGAGCTGCCGGCCGGGTGTCGGAACAGGCGGCGGAAGCGGGGAGGAGTCGCCGGCCGAACTGGATCGCATCCGCCGCGGCGTCTCCATGGCACGACCCTGGCCTCCGATTTCAACGAGTTCATAAGGAGGCGTTTCTGGGCGCAGCCGTGTCGTTTCTGGTGAGAGGCCGCCGGCAGGCGGGACCCGGGGCGCTGCGCGGATGCCGCTGGGCCCGGTGCCCACGGGCGGGATGGCCCCTGCCGGGGCCCGCTGCCCCTCCGCCCCCCTCCGTCTCCAGCCCTCGGGCGCGCTCGCCCGGCTCCGGTCAGAACCTGGCCCCGTGCCCCGCCCCCCGGCGCGGGCTTTCTCCTCCGCTAACGGGCGGGCCGGGCGCCTCTCTCCTCACCTGGCCACCGGCAGGGCTGCTCTTGCCCCTGCCGCCCTCCGGCGGGGCGTCGCCCTTCTCTCTATGGGCAGAAACTGGGCCCCTCCTGCCCGCTGGTGGGTGGTGGTCCCTTCTCTCCGCCGACGGTGGCTGGCCCCGCGCCCTCCTAGAGCCCCCGGTGGGAGTCGCCCCGGCCCGGCGGGCACTGGCCCGCGTTTCGTAGGCACGCCGTCTCCCGGGCACCGCCCAGGGCCGTCTGACCCGCCGGAGCGGGTTCACCCGCGCAGGGGCCTCCCGTCCCGCCCCGCTCCCGGCACAACCCGGCGTCTGCCCAGCCCTAACTCGGGAGCTGAAGCCCAGCGGCCGCTGCTGAGCGCGGGAGCATTTCCCTTGCGCCGTCGGGGGTACCCACCCGCGGCCCAGCGCTCCTCTCCCCCTTCTCCCAGGGGACAGTTGCCCTGCCCCGCCCCGAACATCCCTCCTGCTCCCTGCGTCCTTTCCCGCCCTTTGGGGCTCTCCTGGGGCCTGGCGGTTCCTGCCCTTCACGCAGACCAACCAGCACCCCAGGTTTTCCTCTTGGTGGCCACCCACCTGCCCTCCGGGGTGGGGCCTGGGCGTGGTGGCCCTTTCCCTCCAAGTTCTCTCCCCCTGGGGAGAGGGAAGCTCCACCGCGCCCCACCGCACCCACCCACCGCCCTGCAGGTCGCTCAGGCTCTGCTGTCTCCCCCCACTTTGGCAGGACAGTTACTGTGCGACTTGGACAGTAGAGGAGCACCTCCCAAGTTTTCATCCAACTGCAAAGCTTCCACCCTCCTCCCCTCAGGATGCCAGGCCCCTGAGAGTCTCATTGACCAGCCCCCTCTGTGTCCCCCTGAGCAGAGCCTGCTGACCCAGTTGCCCACCTTTGTGGCTTTGATGCCTGGCCATGTCTGCCTCATCCTCAGGCGGCCCCCCCAGGTACTGCCAATGTGGGGAGGCATCTCTGCCGAGGGCAGGGAAAGGTGGTCAGGGGCCCTAAGGCCAGGCTCGCTAGAGGTTCTCTTTTCAGCCACTCTGTTCTGTGTACTAAAAGTCTGGACCAAACATTTAAAAACCGTTTTTAAGGGGAAGGAGGGAAAAAATGCACATGGACAACCTCAGCTCTGCCTTCCTCTGGCCCCCCCTCCCAAGTGCCCCGGCTCTGGTAGTAAAAAGGGTCCTCACTGTTGTCTGGAGTACAGGCTCAGCTCCTTTGTGAAAGGAGGCAGGGTGTGAATAACAATGATGCAGGAGCGGGGTGCTGTGGCCAAGTGGATGGGATCCAGGTGGTTGGGCGGGAAGGTGCTGAGGGAGATTTCCCAAATCTATTGGCTTTAAGTGGACAGAAATGTTCTGAGTGAGGAGGGAAACAGAAACCTGTTCTGCTCAGATTCGGTGTTCCTCGGCTGATCAGTAGGACTCAATAATACGCTTTTCTTTTTTATCAAGGTGTGGTAAACAGCAAAGTGCATGCTGAAGTGCTCAAGGATTTTTATGGTGCATTTGGATATTGTATTATTTTCCCCAAGTATTTGTTGGGGGGGGGTAGTGAGGTCATATTTGGGGGCTGTCAGAAGGCAGTGGGATGGATCCAATGGAAATTCCAAGCGTCTTCCTGTCCTGGAATTCTTGGGTGTACTGCTGCCAAATTTTGGAGATTAAACTTTTGCTGTATTTGCAACTCTGATGATGGGGCTGTTCATGTATAAGCAAGGTGAATAGCATGCTATAAAAAGAACCCCAGAACAAAAATAATCCTGCTTCGTAGGAGCTTAAAGGGTAGCAAGTGGAATATTTCAGAAAAGAGTAACTTTTCATCCTCTTAGTTGAATATTTGTTAATTTTATGAATTTTAGTCACAGGGACTTGTTTCTGAGCTTGTTGCTTTGTCTACTTACTGGACATTCATTTGCTGAGCATTTCTCCAGGGTCTCCTCTGCTCCAGGCACTTACTCTCTTGGCCAAACTAGCACCTTGGCTATGGCTCACATGCCACCGCCTTTTTGTCGCGTGACAGGATGACAGCTGGACATTTCAGCAAAAGGTCACAATATGTGTGATACATTGGCAATTTAAAAGGCCAGCCCTGCGAGTGCCCGTCACCTCCTATGTCCATCCCACTGCTGGGCACGCCATGCATGTTTGGTGCTTGTGTAAAGGGAGCCAAGTAATTCCAGACTGGTTTTCCTAGCCACAAACTTATTTAGCCACCATATGTAGAGCATAAGTTTGGGAGATTTAAGAAACAGAAGAGCCCTGGTTTTCTGCTTATAATCTGGTTCTTGTGCCCAGGTTCAGGTTTCCATCGTGTGGGAAGAACGGAGTAACAAATCTCCCGCAGAAAAAGGTCCTGAGGACACCTTGTGGCGCACCCAGTGTGACTGTGACGGTATGTGGGGTGCATGCAGAGCAGGTCTCTGCCAGAAATGCATCTGCACCTCTCTCCCAGGGGGTGTCCTGCCCCGCTGGCACCACTGTGGCCTGGCTCTCTGCTAGAAGCTTTCATACGTGCTGATTAATTGTGATTTTTTTTTTTGCCTGTGGTAAAGCCTCCAGATATGAGGAGGTTGTCTTAATTTAAGCCTTCCAGACAAATTCCAAAACTCTTTAGAATAGATTGAAAAAAAAAAAGAAGAGGAAGAAGAAGAAAAGAGTAAAGAATGGGGAGAGGGGACAGGAGCTGGCAGGTGAGGGGTATGTAGCTCTTTTCTTTAGAATCTATACAACCTTCTCATCTCGGCATTTCCCCTGGCTTTGTTTTCATTGGATTACCTGCCTGCTGCCTGATTCATTTTGCATCCTAACCATTTTGTGTGTTTCCCACGCTAATCCTTATGCCCCTTTCAGGGGTCGGTGTGGCAGGCTTCACCTGCTTTCCAGCTGTGCCGCACTGACTCTAAGGAGGAGCTGTGCATTCCAGCAGGCTTAGAAGGAAATTCAGCTCTGAGGACCCCAGGCCCAGCTTTGGGCTCCTTTGTAGAACCTGTGGGTCTTACAAACCCCTCTGTCTTTAGTGGGCCTGGTCTGCCGGTTGGTCTTCAGCTGGGATCTCCGCAGCAGCCTGCTGAGTGGCGCTCCACCTTAGTTCCTGCCTGCGTGCTGGTAGTTGGTAGCTGTCCTGCTCGCTTGGTGGCTAGGCTTTCAGGGGCCCCCAGAGGCTGTGAGCTCTGTTTTTTATGCCCAGTTTACCCCTCCACAGATCAACCTTTTTTGTGTTGTCCTCCCCTGCTTGCCAGAAGCGAATCATGAAGGACCGCTCTTCAACTCCCCCCTTACATGTTCACGTGGATGAGAACACACCTGTCCATGTCCACATAAAAAAACTCCCGAAACCATCAGCGGCCAGCAGCCAGGTAGGAGCATGCCAGTGGGGCGAGGCAAAGGCTATGGAGCAGGGTGACGCTGCCCGGCTCAGCCTCCTCACACTTCTAACAACAAAGGTTTGAGAGACAAATGCACTCGCTTCTGAGGTCAGTGCCTGATCAGAAGGTAGGCAGGTCTGTCATCCAGAAATGGCAGCAGTTGCCTTCATCAGACGAGACTCCCCTGCAGAGTTGGCAGTGGATGCTACCGGAGTGACGCCACAGCCAGCTGTGTGGGGAAAAGTGACCCTGGGTTTGTCCCTTTCCACAGAAATCTCATAAGCGTGGAATGAAAGGGAACACCGTGAATGTGCGGAGGAGTGTCCAGGTGAAAACCAAGGTACCTTGGATGCCCCCTGGAAAATCATCCACCCGGCATGTGGGATGCAAGTGGGAGGTAGGCTCATTCTTGTTCAGGCTTTTCTTCTCGGACTGGTCAGTGTCTAGCAGGCTTCAAAGTTGGTATGACTCAGGGTGGGCTGTAGCTGTTGAAGATATCCAATTCGGTCCTGTTCACTGAGTGCCTTGCTAAACCCTAAGAGCACGTGCATCTTCTTGAGTCCTACAACACTGTGATGTGGTAGGTCCTGCTCTCCCAGTTCCCAGATGAGAAAACCAAGGGTCAGAGAGATGGATTCTCATAGACAGGAGCAGAGCTGGAGTTAGGATTCAGGAGGTTCTCCTAGAGGTGGTACTCTTAGCCTCTCTGACTTGTATTGTGAGGAATCCCATGTCTTTTCCCACGGAACTCTGATAGTATCTAAAACATAGCTTAAAAAAAAGTATAGCAGAATGTACACACTCAGGAGAGCGTCCCCTCTTTTGAGGGAGTCCCCATAAGAAATCGTGCATATAGCTAGTGCCTAGATGTCCTCAAAACTACTTTTCGAAGAATCTCCTGGGGAACAATCTCCTTCAGTTTTAGTTGTCAAGGTGCCAAGTGTACTGTTGTCTGTTTTTAGCCACACCTCAACATGTCTGTCCATCCATCCATTCAGTCCATCTGTACGGCGATCCATGCAGCATTACCCTTATTGAGCCTTGTGCCAGGCACTGTTGGGCACTGGGGGTTACAGCAAGTTAGAAATATAAAATACAAGCAATTACTCATGAAGTCACACTTCATGGTTTTTTGACTCCCTGATTTACCAGTTTTTTCTCAGAGATAAAGGGAGTTTGGAGAATTCTGGGGAATAGAAAAAAAGTATTCTGGCCTGTATACATATACATATCTGATGTACAAGGAAGATTGGAATTAAAATACAGTCTTGACCATGTAAACATCACAAGTAACTAGTGACATATCAATTAAAAACAACTTTTAAAAACAAACAATAAGCTATCATTTTTATGGAGTGAAACAAGTTGAAAAGATTACAAAGATCTGTTGGCAAGCACAGGGGGGATCAATGAACCTTTGGACACAGTTTTGAGAGGACTGTGAAACCAATGGCTCTAGAGGCAATTTGGCACCATCTTTATAAACATTTATTCTATAATTTGCATCTTGGAATTGATTCCATAGTTTTAAATATAGGATTTAATCTAAAAAAAGTCACAGAAGAGGACAGGGATCGTGTATAAAGATGGTTGTAATAGAAAAAACCGGAAGCAATTTAAATGTCTATCAGGAGGGTATTGGTTAAATTATGCAACAGCCATAGAGTGGAATACCCTGCAACCATTCCATAGAGTGAGGTAGATGTTTAAACATGAAAATGAAGCTGGAGCCACACAGCACGTATCATTTAGCCCTATTTGCCCGATAAAGGACTTCTGTATGTCCACGTGTGTATGGGTGTTTTTATGTGTAACATTTTCTGGGAGGATATATAGGAAGTGGTAAACAGTGATTATCTCTGGGCTGTGAGGAGCTTTAATGATTCATTTTTTATCGTCTGGCTTTCTTTGTAACAAACATACTATGTTTTATAATTAAAAACACTTTTTTAAAAAGTAGAGACTTGGTTTTCCAAATACATGTCAAAGATATGCCACTATGGAAATTGACTTTCCTGTTTACATATGTTGCTAGGACTTATGGTCCCTTCTGGAAAACTCAGTGACCACTACCAGTTCTGGGGCCACAGAATCCTAGAAACGGAGGGGTGCAGAGAGGTGACTTGGCATTTCTTAAACAGTAGTTGTTTTTCATCCTGTCCTCTTGAGCAAGCTATCCACTTCCCAGGAGCGCTCCATGTTTCTGGGAGGACACAACCTGACCCTTTCCATGATGGACATGGAGAAAGACCCTACAGGGAGGAGATTTGGGGTGAGCTGAATGTGGAGGACCCCAGAAGCTTCTGTGTGCTTGTGGGGATTCTTGTTTGGTTTTTTAAAACTCCCTCTGCTACACAAGATTGTCTTTGGGAGAAAGAAGGTCTTTTTTTCCTCCACCTATTGTTAAAAGTGATCTATCTTTATTACAGAAAGTTGAAAATAATAAATTCTACTACTATAATGTGACCATAATTAAGTTTTTAAAAGTTTTTGTTGAAAAGTACAGGAAAGTACACCCATCAGAAGTGTGTTGCTTGATGAATTTTTACAAGTGGAATAACCCCGTGTAACCATTACCAGCTCAACCCAAAGCTCCTCTCTGGTGCTGTTCCCATTACTATTGCCCCTGAGGGTAACCACTCCCTTGAAATATTTTGGTACATTTACTGTCAAATTTCTTTCTATGCATAGTTTTGCAGAGGGCGCATCCATTTTTAAAATTGTTCGCTATGAGTTCTCCTTCTTTGACATAACAGTTATATCCTTACTGAATATCCCTTTTATTCCTGATAGCTATCATCTTCTCCTGGAAATTGGTACAGAATGTTAGCCACCTCAGCTTAAGAAGAGCAGAGAACTGTACAAATAATGAGGCATAGCAATTACTTAATGCACCAGAATAAACTTAGAGTGAGAGAATCAAGTTCAATATACCAAAACCCATGGAAACCCTGGCCCCTGTATTAAAAGATCTTCCTGGAGTCTTAAAAGTAGAGTGTTTAAAACCATATGTATGTGTTTTTATGCTGATGTATTTAAATAGATATTTTTCTAGATACCATACCATTCCATCCTTAAATTATTCAATATGTACTTCTGGTAGTATTTTTCTACATAACCAAAGTTACAATGATTAGTCCTAAAAACCTCATTTCTTAATATCATATAATATCTGGTCCATATTTGAATTTCCCCACTTGTCCCTAAAAATACCCTTTATAGCAGATTTGTATACCTTTGCAATTATCCACTGTCTTGTATTCATAGTCATTTAAAAGATATATAAGAAGTGGTAAATGGTGATTACCTCTGGGCTCATGCATTCATAGTCATTTAAAAGACTCGACATACTTCACTTCTGTCTTAGTATATGTAAATATTGATTGCCGCAAACTTTTGCCAATTTGTTATATCCTTATTTTAAACTTGACACTGTAACACAGCCTTTCTACTTCTCTGTTAGAAAATCCTCAAAAATGTCACTTAAATGTGGGTAGGTAATATTCCATCAAGAAGGTACAGTGTGTTCTTGCTCCCGGAGTCCCTGTGGTTGGCGCCTCAGTGGCTTCAGCTCTTCGTGCTAAAGCCTCCAGTGGACAGTGGGCGTGGTGGGACTGATGACTGTGGTTTTGCCTTATGAGTTAATGTGTTTCTCCCTCCTTTCCATCAGAATCCACCTCATTGCCTGGAGAACACACCACCATCTTCAGAAAAGCTGGTCTCAGTGATGCGATTAAGTGACCTCTCTACTGAAGATGACGACTCGAGTCACTGTAGAATGAACTGTTATGATAAGAAGATTGACAATCTAATGAATGCAGTTGGTTGTCTCAAGTCTGAGGTGAGGGACGAGGGGGGCTGGGACAGCTTGTGCCCCGAGGATGTACAGAGCCGCCCAGGTGGGTTCCCTGTAGACATTTCCTTCTGGCTGCCTCTCAGCAGGCTTTGGATGCTCCTGGGGAGGAAGCTGGGGCATCCTGGCATCCCTCTCCTTTGAACACTTAGCCCAGCCTGGCCCTGACCACCTGACCTGGCCTGGGGCTCTGTAAGGTTGGCCTGGTTTGATTTTTTACAAGAGTAAATGAAGCCAGTGATGGTATTGTTGCAAGTTTGGAGGTGAAATCACTGGACACTGGGGCCTCTGCTTTCCATTTTACACAAAAGGTTAAAAAAAAAACAAAAACAAAGCCCCAAAGAAGTGAATGAAGTTTGCCCTCAGTTGCTGGACTGTGTCCTTGGCTGGGATGCGGGAGCGGAATTGTAAACAGCCTGGAAGGCCAGGGCCCCCGACTAGAGGTTGGCAGAACTGGCGTGGAATCCAGGTCTTGACCGCTAAGGTGGACCGTGCTTCTGACCCTTCACCCTGCAGCTGGGGACCTCTTGAAGAGCCTGGGCGGGGCTGCCTGGCGACAATCCCTCCTTTCTCCGCAGCCCGCAGCACGTGGGCCTTTTGTGACATCTCCCCCTTTGGTGTCCCAGCTGGTTTGTATCCGGCCTTTGTCCCCAGCCGGCAAATCTCCGAGGCTCTCAGGAATGAGGGGAGGAGAGGAAGAGCATCTGCCAGAGAGTCTCTGTGACAGTTAACTGGCATTGTTGCCCCGAGAACTCAAGCTACCCAGGCAGCTGTCAGTCAGACGCGCCCTCAATTCGGTCCCAGCAGTGGGCCTAGCGATGTGGTGGGGAGGAAGGGCCTCCTCTCAGTGGCTCCTGCCCACGTGCCCCACGCACAGGTCAAGATGCAGAAGGGTGAGCGCCAGATGGCCAAGAGGTTCCTGGAGGAGCGGAAGGGGGAGCTGGAGGAGGCGGCCCACGAGCTGGCCGAGACCGCGCACGAGAACACGGTGCTGAGGCACGACATCGAGCGCATCAAGGAGGAGAAGGACCTCACCGTGTAAGGGGGCCACAGAGCCCCGGGCTGCCCCAGCCCTGGGAGCGGGCGGCAGGGGAGGGGCAGGCGCCGGCGCTGTCCCCGGGTCGGAGTCTAGCCCGGGGTGGCAGCCGTTCAGCGCAGTCAGGTACCTGCCGGCGCTCGTGCGTCACAGTGTGGTGGCAGAGGCTGCGCCCCCAGAGTGCAGCTGTGGCGAGGGGAGGGCGTGGGGACGTGCTCCTGGGAAGCATGTAAGGCGAGTTCTGCAGGACAGCTAGGAGGTCGGCATGTGGGTGTGGGGGGGAGACACTCCACGGTGGGAACATTGTATGTGGAGGCCCTGAGCTGCGAAGGATTTGCGACTGAGAAAGGAAAAGCAGCCAGAGTGACCGTGCGCAGAGTGACTGGGCGCAAAGGGGAGGGGATGCCACGGATGTTGGCAGGGCTCTTAGTGGCCCTTTGAGGAATCTGCACTGAAGGCAGTTGGAAGCCATGGAAGGGTTTTCAAAGCAGGTGTGACCAGCCTTGGGTCCCGTGTGGAGAGCAGATGGGGGCTAATAAGCAGATCTGAAGATGCTGGTTAGTAGGCTGTGGCAGTGACCAAGGGCACAGGTGATGCCAGCAGTGGCTGTCTAAGAGACAAGCAGGACTACAAGTGGCATAATGTCACCTGGCGTGGCGGCCCTGCTGTGGTGCCCAGGTGTCCTTTCAGAAGGCCACTCCAGTCAGAAGAGCCAGCCGTTCCCCCTCCCCCACTGTTCCCTGGCCAGATGAGCCTTGCAGGGCATTGTGAGGCAAGCCTCAGAGCTCTGGGCGGGCAGGGGCCTGGAGGGCTCACAGGGCCCTGCTTCATCTGGCCCCAGACTTCAGAAGAAACACCTGCAGCAGGAGAAGGAGTGCCTCATGTCCAAGCTGGTAGAGGCTGAAATGGATGGAGCCGCTGCTGCCAAGCAAGTCATGGCCTTGAAGGACACCATCGGGAAGCTGAAGACAGTAGGTGGCAGACAGTACAACCCAGCCTAGGACAGAGCCCAGAGAGGGTACAGCTGCAAGCTGGGGTGGGGTCTTTACACAGTCATCAGGCTGACATTATGACATCTCCAGGCCAGGGGAGGGCCCACTTAACTCCTTGGCCCCCAGCCCCTACCCGCCACTCTTACTTCCGGGGCCTCACCCTTAAGGATGACCACTGGTAGCCAGAGCCTCTGAGGAGACCTCAGCATGGGTCTCCTGGGAGCACAGCGAGATGCGCATGCGTCTGATTCCCGTAAGTATCAGCCAAGAGCGGTCCTGCTGCTCCTGCACCTCCTCCAGGAGACCGGCCCTAACTACTTACACCGAGCTCCCCAGCCCCTTTCCCTACTTGGCGTTTTCAGCAGGCTTGGCTCCTGCCCATCTTGCCAGGTCTGCCTCCTCTCCGGCCTTGTGCACAGCGCAGCTCTCTTGCGTGGGCTTCCTGAGTTCCCCGTGGGGCCTGCCTCTGCGGCCTCCTCCCTCCTCCTCCTATACTTTGTAAGACTGCCTGCTGTCTTCCAGGAGAAACAAATGACCTGCACGGACATCAACACCCTGACGAGGCAGAAGGAACTTCTCCTGCAGAAGCTGAGCACGTTTGAGGAGACCAACCGCACCCTCCGGGACCTGCTGAGGGAACAGCACTGCAAAGAGGTGAGCTCTGGCCAGGCCTCCCGCACCCCAGCCCGTCCACGGAGCCCTAGGCTCCTCGTCTGTGAAAAGAAAACCCTCTTAGTGCGTGACCTGAGGGGGCCATAGGAAGATGGGCTGAAATCGCTGGCAGTGTGCTGGGCACGGGTGGCAGGTGTTGTCTCGGTTGTTGAAGCTGGACCTGGTGGCACCGGAGGGACCTTGGATGTCAATTGGAGGGCAGTGGGGAGTCAGGGTGGGGTTCAGCCCATTCCAGGGATCACGTGGCAAAACGGGGAGCGTGCTACACCTGAGCTTTGGTGAAGTAGCTGAGTGACTAATGGCCCGTGGACACACGTTAGTCTATAAAATCTACTTTCTGTTAGCATATGATTCTGGAAAGATGGACAATATCAACAGCTGCTTCCTATTTGGTTCAAACCAAAGGGATACCAAAAGCCCATGCTGAAGAGGTGATGACAGTTTTTTTAGTTTAATCTCTTTTTTTGTTATTCAGCATTGTCAACTTCTCTTTTAAAAAAATAGCATTTAAAATAAGTAAAAACCTTTTTCATATAGCTAAATCCCTCTTGTGGCTCTTTGGGTGGCAGTGTTATCTCCCTTCCCTCAGAGGGAACCTTTATCTCGAATCTGATAGTTTTTATTGCTTATGTTTGTCTTCCGAAGCTGCATGTAGTATTGTTAAGCATGTTTTCAAACTTCACAGTAATGGTACTGTTCCATGTATATTCTTCTGAGTTTGCTTTTTTACCCTATATTTTTATGAGATTCCTCCATTTTTATCCTTGAGGCCTGAGCAATTAATTTTCCCTGCTGAGTTCCATTTTATGACTGTACCACAATTTATCTCTTCTTTACTGATGGAGACATATTTTCAGCAGTTTGCTGTTAAGAGCAGTGTTATTTTGAGGATTCATGCGCCCTCTCCTGGTGTACTTGAAAGTTTCTAGGATATATTTTATCAGTTTTACTAGTTATAGCTAAATTTCTCTCTTAAAATAGTATACCTGTTGCATTTCTGGTTGGTGTTCTCGGGTGCACAATTTTTACCTCTCTGGGCCTTGGTTTTTTCACTTATAAAAGGGGAACTGCACAGACTGTATGAGAACTTGAGATGATGCATGGACAAGGGGTTTGCATACCACCTGGCACTTAATAGGTGCTTGGTAAGTGGCAGGTGCTGTTGCTTATTGTCCTGGTACTGGGGCCCTGAGAAACCTCTTGAAAGAAGAGAGGGGATGCGAACTCAACAGTCCAAGCAGGTTTACTGATGAACCTGAGAGGGACCCCCCTGTCCTGGCCAGCAGAACAAAGGAAAAAGCGGGTCTCTAACAGGTCAAGAGGCTTTTTATGGCCAGGGCTTTGGCGGGCTCTTTGAGGGGAGTGGTCAGGGGAAAGGTGGGCTTGTGGCTTGCTGACGTGTCCTCTGGAGGATGCTTGTAGCCTAGGTAAGATGACACCTAGTTCTCTCTGAGTTGGTGGATGGGCTTATTCAAAAGGAGGATTCTATCACCTCTTCCTACCCAATTTTGTTCCTTTGTCTTCTTAGTGTCTATTATCCTGGAACCCCAGCATCTCCAGCTGGAGATGAAGGGTGGGCTACCTTAAACTCCCACCCATAGTATGTGCTCCCTGTTTGTTCTAGGACCTCATCTCCTCCTGCCCATGTGACCCTGGGGACCACACCCCCATCTTGGGGCTTACTAGGGGGCACTCAGTGTGGTGGGGGGACTGCTTTGGCCTTGAGTCAGTTGTCTTAGGGTCCAGCTCTGCCATTTCCAGCTGTGTGATCTACAGAAACTCACTTCTAGTCTCGATCTTCTCATCTGTAAAATGGGTGTGGTGATAGTGTGTATGCCCTTGGAGTGTGGGATTTGGTGAGATCATGTGACAGTTTGTTTAGTGTCCCCACGGAGGCTCTGGGGACGTGGCATAATGGGCAGCGGGAGCAGCTTCAGGCTGTAGGTCTCTGGCCTCAGCTTTCATCTCGTGTTGTCTCCTCTAGTTGCTGGAGAAACCACAATGCTGGCTTCTGTCAGTTCTAGGTGCCTGGGAACCTCTGGGTCCAGGGAGCCCTTTTGGCTTGTGAAGGGGCCTGTGGGCCTGAGGTGGAAAGGAAGGTGAGCCTCCTTCCAAGGGTGCTCGGGAAGAAGAGCAGAGACAGTTCACAAAGACACCCGTGGGAAAATGGGCAAGGGGTGAGCAGGCAGTTCTGAGAAGAGGAACCACAAATGGGTGATGAACATGTGAACGATCAGAGGAATGCAAAATGAAACCGCAGGATGGTGCTGGCAAAGACTGACAGCGGGCAGCGGCTACCGGGTGCTTCCACGTCCCGCTTGTGACCGCGTGAGGAGGTGTAGGCACTTTGCAGAGCATTTCAGCTGCCACACGTTACAACCCTTCCAGCCCAGCTGTTCCTCCTTTTCTTGGTATCACCCTAAGACAGACACTTAGTACTTGTCCAGCAGTGTCCACTGCTACAGTGCTGCTATTGCAAAACCTGGGAAGCACCGCATTGCCTGGAAGTTGTGGGAAGAAGGTAAAAATACAATGGCGCATTAGAGACAGAAAGCAGACTTGTGGTTGCCTGGGGTTGGGAGGAGGGGCAAGTGCGGGCTGACTGCTTGACCAGGTACCTGGCTTCCTCTTGGGGTGGTGACAGTGACTCTTCTGGAACTAGATGGTAGCAATGGTTGCACAATATTGGGAGTGAACTATATTTTAGTGTATTTTAATATAATATCCATTTAGTATGTTTTAATATATCCATTATATTGAATATTATACTTAAAAGTGGTTAAAATGGTGAAGTTTATGTTGTAAATATTTTACCTCAATTTAAAAAGATAACAATGTAATGTACCAAAAGCCTTTGAATTGCACATTTTAAATGGGTGCCTTGCGTGGTATTTGAGTTTATATCTCAACTAAAGCTGTTTCTAAAAAGTCAGGTGCAGCACAGAAGTACAGCCTGATGTCAGTTCGGTGGAATGACACGTGCCCTCACCCCCCTCCTCCCAAAGAGAGCATTCCTCAGGGTGTGGCTGTGCACAAATGCGGAGGGGAGAGTGGCAGCGTATCATCCAATTAACAAACCATAGGGTGGGGCTTGGGAGGTGGTGAGGGGGCCCTTAGCTTTGTTGGTGTTCACCAAATATATTATGATAAGGATGTAACTTATTTAGTACTTCAATGATTAGAAATGCAATTTTCAGATAAGGAAAAGGGGCCTTTTAGGATGTAGACCTCCTGGTTTATCGCTTGCTTAGTGATTTGCTTTCCTTTTGCCTTCCCTTGAAGGATTCTGAAAGGCTGATGGAGCAACAGGGAGTGCTGCTGAAACGACTGGCAGAGGCAGACTCGGAGAAAGCGGTAACACGGGGCACCCCCGGCGCCCACCTCCCCCACCGGGTTTCAGGTGACAAAGCTTAGAGGTTCAGTGGCAGCAAGAGGGCTGAAATCCTGCTCTGTTTTCTGAGTCTGTTTCAAGATCTGTAAAATGGGCTGATGTCCCCTCTGCCACCTGCTCCACTGGGGCTGGTCTGGTTGGTCACCTGAACCACCATGCCAGACACCAACATGAGGGATGGAGGTAATGATAACACGTTTATAAATCATCAGAGCCTGTTACCTTGATTTCCTCATTCATATTCTGGATTAAAAGTCATCAAAAGGTAGAGACTTTTAGACTCATTCCAGTTCTAGGAATCTCTCCCAAGACAGCAAAGCCTAAGTTCCTCAAGATGTGAATGGATGTAAGAAAGAAGCGGGGAGTGACCCACGACCAAGTAAATCTGGGAAACAGCTGGCTGGCCTGAACAAAACGTTCAGCAGGTTTCTTAACTCCAAGACCTTTCAGAGCCTTTGATATTTTAATGCCCACTGTGTGAGTCTCAGAGAAAGAAGACAGAGGTCGTGTCTCCCATGCTTTGGCCCTTGGCCCTCAGTGCCTCGCCAGACATCCCTGGGGGAAATTCAGCAGGAATGGGATAATTTTGAAGCCTGCATTCTCAGCTGGAGAGGCCTTGTCAAATTATGACACATCAGTACATTGAAACATTAAGCTGTGGTTTCAAAAGATGTAGAAGATTTAAGCACGTTATGGTAAATGTAGGATCGTAGGTTATGGAACAAAATGTACATAGGACTTTTTAAATGTCTGTTAACCATGGTTGTCTCTGGATGGGGGATTATGGAGAGTTGTTAGCCTTTTTTGTGTGTGTGAACGTTTTCCACAATTTACATTATTTAAATTGAAAAATAAATGGTGTTTATTGTTTTTAAGAAATGTTGGCCCTGGCGGCTGGACACTCACAATAGTGTCTCTCCTCTCTGGGCTGGCCCTCCTTGCCTTTCCCAGGGAGCTCATGGCAGTGTGTGTTCTCCCCAGCGCCTGCTCTTACTGCTGCAAGACAAGGACAAGGAGGTGGAAGAGCTCCTCCGGGAAATACAGTGCGAGAAGGTACCATCCCCGACAGCTGCTCCTTAGGGGCCAGTAGAGCTTCATGGGTAGAGTGTGCTCTGGAATTGGAGACCTGGGTTCAAATCCTCTCTTTGTCCCATTTTCCATCTCTCCAAAGGCTCAAGCAAAGACAACATCTGAGCTTTCTAAGTCCATGGAGTCCATGCGAGGGCATTTGCAGGCACAGCTTCGGTGCAAAGAGGCAGAGAACAGTCGCCTGTGCACGCAGATCAAGGTACCTGCTGGCCCAATAGGTGGGGAAGGAGGGGGTGGGGCATGGCAGTCCAAGGGCGGGGCCTGGCCAAGGCTGTCGCAACTCAGGTAGGTTTTACCCGCAAGGGTAAGGGCAGCTGCTGCCAAAGCCCTCGTGTTTCAGAGAGACTCTGGGACAGCGGCAAGAGTCATGGAGAGAGACCTCCTGGAGGTCTTGGGTGTCCTTCCCAGCAGAAACCAGGGTGGGAGCTGTGCCCTGAGCCAGTCACTTAATCCCGTAGGCCCTCCGTTCTCCTACTCTCCGTGGGGAGGGGATGGCTCCAGATGCTGCTTGCATCTGTGAGCCAGGGACCCTGTGAGGTCACAGTGCTACTGAATGGTAGGGACAGCTCTGACCACTGTGCTGGGAGTTCAGGGAAGGCTTCCAGAGGAGTTCTGGCCTAACATGAAGACCCAGTGGGTTCAGTGATCCGGAGAAGGATGTGGGGAGCTGGGAAGGGGCTGCAGCTCTGGCCTGTGTTTGGAGCCTAAGCCCCCATTTTCACTGTCCCTCTCCTCATTCCCTCTTTTCTCTGGTCCCCTCCTCCCCCTCTCTCCCCTTTACCCTCTGCCTTGCCCTCTGGCCTTTCTTGTCTCCCTCATCCCCTCCCCGCATCTGCGCCCCGGCCGTGCCCTTCCAGAACCTGGAGCGCAGTGGGAACCAGCACAAGGCGGAAATAGAGGCCATCATGGAGCAGCTGAAGGAACTGAAGCAAAAGGGAGAACGAGAAAAGGAGACCTTGAAGGCGGCCATCCGAGCCCAGAAGGAGCGAGCGGAGAAGAGCGAGGAGTACGCCGAGCAGCTGCACGCGCAGCTCGCCGACAAGGTAGCAGGCCGGCCGTGGCGGAGGGGCAGGGCGGCTGGCTGAGCAGGGAGCCTGTGGGCGGGCGCGGCCAGTGGGTGAGGAGGGATGGCGGTGGAAAAGGGAATGAGCTGTAGGACAGGTGGCAGGGGAACGGGAGGGGAGTAGGAGCTATGTAAGTGAAGGACGGTGATGGGCAGGCGGCCAGCTGGAGACAGTTGGAGGGGACAGTCTAGCCACGCCGTCATTGTGTGGGGGAAGGCAGGATACGGGTGTATGTGCAGACAGGGTACATATGGTTGCTAGCAATCCACAAGCAATAGCTGGGCTCCCACTGTCACCCTGGGTGCTTTCTAGAAAGGGATTTGCAGGGGTGAGGGTTGTCCTGGGTGAGCTCCCTTGGCTTCGGCCGTGACATAAGCTGAAAGGTTCCATTGTCCCATGTGCCCAGGATCTTTATGTTGCTGAAGCTTTATCCACCCTGGAGTCATGGAGGAGCCGCTACAACCAAGTTGTGAAAGACAAGGGAGACCTCGAGCTGGAGATTATTGTCCTGAATGAGTACGTCTGCGCAGGAGAGGGCTGTGGGCTGTTAGAGAGAAGTGGGTGCACAGGTGGACAGAGCCTGGCAACCCGAGGCAGGTCACCTCGCCCACACGCCTGCCAACTGGTCTCCACTAGTAAGGGGCTGTGCTGTGCTGAGCTATGGGTGGCCCTGAGCTGGGATTTCTGGTTGGCGCTGGGATGCAAGTTCCAGCTCTGGTCCTGGGGTCCTAGCCCCCTGGCATGCACTGTTGGGGCCAGGCTTCTCTGATCACGGAGGCTTGGGTCTGATGCCAGTGCCTGGGCCTGAGCTGTGTGCCAGTCTGCATAGTGTGGGAACCAGGTGCATCCCCATTCCTGTTCTTGGGGGATGGGACGGTGCTAATCCCTGTGTCTTCTCTCTGTCCTCTGCCCAGTGACTGCCCACCCATCAGTAGGGCAGAGATATGACCTGGGAGTAGAGGGGAAGAGTAGCCTCAAATTGCAGGTGACTGAGCTCCCCTTTCTTGCCTCTGGTGAACTGTCAACAGCAGCCATTCAAACATTCTCAGGGTCAGCTGTATTCATGTGTTCATTCATTTGAAAACATTTATTGAGCATCTACCATATACCAGCCTACAATGCTGGCTTTGGGGTTACAGCAGTAAAAGGACTTTAGAGTTCCCTGCCCTGGTGGCATTCTCTGCCTTCGTGAAGTTGATGTATATTCTAGTAGAGGAGATGGGTTACGGAGACCTGGACTCCCTGGGCTAAGGATGGGTCACAGGAGTGCTAATTTAGTCTCCAGGTCAGGAAAGCCTTCCCTGAGGTATTGTCTTTTGCTATGTTCAACTCAATTTAGCAAACGTGTGCTGAGAACCTGCTGTGTGTTGGGCCTTAGAGCATTCCCCATCTAGTGGGATGTATGGTATAGATGAAAGTGGTTAGAGCAGAGAGGCCCTGAGGAAGGAAGTCTGAACTGGGTTTTTAGGGGTGAATAGGAGTTTGCCAGGTAAAACAACATGTGTCTGCTTGGGCCTAGTCAGTACTCAGTAAATATTTGCTGAGTGAACTATAATTGATAATACACACTGTGTAAAGGTTCTGTTTTGGGTCTCTGGTCAGGACACAGTAGTATCTGTGAGCCCCATTGCTTCTGTGAGGCCAGTCTCTTCTTGGATTATGGCCCACTGAGTGGCTGATGGGAGGAGAAGGTATCAAGGGCAGGGAAGCAGCTGGTTCCCGAGTTGGCCTCTTTCCTCCCTCCCATATACATTCATTGCAGTTCCCGCCTGTGCTAGGTGAGGGTTCACATACGTGAACCAGCCAATCACGGCTCCTGCCCTTAAGGGTCTGGGAGACACGGGCCCAATATGGTAGGTGCCTGAGGGAGAGGAATGCCTGGGAGTGTCCCTAACCACCAGCCTGGGAGTTTTGTCCTAACTTCGAGACCTGATGGGCTAAGAGATCCAGGGGGTGCCATGGAGAGCTGGGAGGAGGTCACGTCTCTGGTCCTTGTCTTTTGGACATATCTTGGCGTTGGGGAGGGTCAAAACAGAGAGGGCTTCTGGAGGGGCGGTATTGGGAGACAACTCGTGAAGGTGTTCTGAGGTGCGGTACACTGTGATGCATGAGTGGCAGGGCGGGACAGAGTGGCAGTGAAAACCGGGGAACACTTGGCTCCACTCCTCGCAAAGACCTGGGCTCGTCATCACACGCACAACTGATTTTGTCTGCTTTTACTTTTCCACCTTCCAGTCGGGTGACAGACCTTGTAAACCAGCAACAAACCTTGGAGGAGAAGATGCGGGAAGACCGGGACAGCCTGGTGGAGAGACTACACCGGCAGACTGCCGAGTATTCTGCATTCAAGCTGGAGAATGAGAGACTAAAGGTCTGCAGGGAGAGCGGGGGTGGGACAGCTGGGTGGCAAGCAGTGAGGCCGATGGTGGGGCACTGCTGGCTGGATCCCAGAGGTGACCACGAGGGTCTTCCGAGGACCTGGAGGCAGCAGTGGGGTTAAAAGGGTGTGCTCTGGAGTCTGAAAGGCCTGGTGCAAGTCTTAACTCTGCCTCTGTGGGCTGCAGGATCCTGGGCGAGACAGCTGCTCCTTGGTTGCTGCAGTTTCCTTAGTGGAGAAACTGAGGCCCTTGTGGGCATGTGGAATGTATGTGCAATGCTTAATCACACACGTCCAGCCCATGCACATGAAATAGCCCTGACTCTGAGCTTTGCACAGTCAGTATTAATTCCCACTTTTTTGAACTTCTATCCTCTTAAGCATAAGATGGTTATCTCCTTTTTAGAATAAAGCAATAGAGGCTTTCGAGTTTTTGGCCAAGATTTTTCCCTTGGAGATGTTGGGAGTTGGGGTTTGAACCCGAGTCTGATTCCGGAGCTCTGGCTCTGAACCGCTGCCTACACGCACCCCAGCACAGCAACAGCACGGGGGGGAGCACCTGAACAGACTTTGACATTTCAGAGCCACAAGCCACTTGTTTTCTAATTGAGCTGGGCAGTAATGTCTAGCTTTATTTTTTTTAGGGAGAGATATGTGTGTGTGTGTGTGTGTGTGTGTGTGTGTGTGTGTGTGTGTGTGTGTGTGTGTGTGTAGTTTATATAATCTATTTATCTTTTGTTGGTTAAGAGTGATTTTAAGAGATGGTACGCACATCCTAGAAATTTCATAAAGTGGACACATTTGGTCCATCAGTCACCCTGATCCAAACTATACCAGCACCCAGTGACCTCTCCTGGTTACACACAACCCTGCTAGGGTGACTATGATCCTGACTTCTGTCACCACAGTTTAGTCGGCCTGTTTTTGAACTTTGTGCCTGGCTTTTACTCAGCACTGTGTTCATGAAAGATTCACACTGTGTGTGGCAGTTACTCATTCAATGCAATGCAGTGCTCCATGGTATGAATTCACCACGATTTATTTATCCAGAATCTGCCATCAAGGGACATTTGAGTTGTTGAACATCTTTGTACATCTTTTGGTGCACATATTGGGTGTATTTTTACAAGTTAAATATCTTGAGGTAGAATTAGCCAGGTCATTGGGTAGTGTGTATAAATGCAGCTTTGGTAGATATTACCATTCAATAAAGTAGTTGTACATATTTACACTCCCAACAGGGGTTGTGAGAGTTTGGTATTGTGGGTCTTTTTCCCTTTCGCTGCTCTGGTGGGAGGGGAGGGTAGTAGTGTGTAATTTGTTGTAGTGCAATTGCTGGATAAATTAAAGACAACCTCCAAGTCCAGCAAGCAGTCAGGGATTAGTCACAGTGTGGTCTTTCTGCCTAGTGTAATACAGTTTGGCCATCCACCCTGATTGATGTTTGTGGAAGTGTATTTTCTTAGATGATGTAAATACAAAGGCAAAATATGCTCATACAGAAATGTGATATGGAAGCATATGCTTCCCCAGTTTTTTCCCCACCGCTAACATACACATTCACACATGGACACAGCCATTCACCCACTACTTCTGCAGCTTGCCATTCTAATTCAGCCATATTTCTTGAATATCTTCTTAGGTCAGTTTTTTTTTTTTAAGCTTAATCTCTGTTACATGACTGCTTATTGTTGTATTGAGGTACCGTGATCTGTTTGGTCCCATCTACTAAGGTGAGCCTTTGGGTTGTAAGAGCACATTTACTGACTCAAGAAGGAGATCACAACATAAGTGAATATTGAAACATCACCACATAATTGTTAACTGAAAAAGTATGCTGCAAAGCAGTAAATCCAGGGTAATCCCATTCTTGTTGGAAAAAAGTCTATATTCAACTATAATGTATGGCCATATACCAAGGCTTCAAGTATTATGATTCATTTTTCTTGGTCTTACTCCACATTCTTTAGTAATTATGTATTCCTTTGTAATAATAATAAGAAAACATGGGGTTATTTAATTGCATCTATATTCACTTAAGTTGTTGTTAAGTAAGGAAAACTGCTGCCATGGGCTTGAGTTTGTGGGACTTCCCTTTGCCAACTCCTTGGAGGAGGAGCTGAGGGTGAGGTGGTCACCTGCTCTGGAACCTTCCCTTGGTTACTCATGAGCCACCCCTTCTAGGCTAGCTTCACCCCGATGGAGGACAGACTCAGTCAGGCGCACAGCGAGGTCCAGCAACTGAAGGCTTCAGTCAAGAACTACGAGGGGATGATCGACAACTACAAGAGTCAGGTAGGCCTCTTGGGCCGTGGCCCTGCTTCCCAGTAGGCTGGGAGATAAACCCTGTGGCCTCGCCAGGGAAGGGTTGAGTGTGGAGGTGTTTTTCACTGAAGTCTGGCTGTGTCCAGGATGGGCTGATGCCGTGTTCGTCCCTAGGTGATGAAGACCAGGTTGGAGGCTGATGAAGTGGCTACCCAGCTGGAGCGCTGTGACAAAGAGAACAAGATCCTGAAGGACGAGATGAACAAAGAGATTGAGGCGGTACTGCTTCCCTTCTCACTTTCTTCCCCCCAACGTCACATCTGTCCATCTGCCCCTCTTGCTGCCTTTGACCCTCTCTGATTTGGACACAGATGAACAAAGTCTCCTTTTGCTGAGCCGGTCCAGCCTGACCATGCACGTGCTCCCCCTCGTCTCTCTGGTCTCCTCCCTTCTCTCATTCATGTTTCTTTATGCCTTTTTCCCTCTTGGTTTTCTTCTTTCTCTAATTTCCTTAAAAAAATACAAATCTCCTCTGCTTGGAGCATCCGAGTGGATTCAAACCCACATATATACCAGATCTTAGGCATGCCTGCTTCAATCTGCCTGGTGCCTTTATTTTGCACCAGGTAAAAATGTGCCTTCTGTCCCCTTCTCCAAAGATCATGATTCTTCTAGAATGTTTGGCTGTCTAGAAGAGGGATTATCTTAACAGTAACCTTGGAGATGGGCTGAGGTCAGGCTCAGCCACTAGCTTGATGTCTGACCTTGGGCAAGTCATTGCTGCTGTCCAGAGCCCATTCTCCTTGTTAACACAGAGGGGGACTAAAACCGGCTGGTTCTTACCTTGCCCTCTGACCTGTGGCATTGTGAGGGCCTTCCTGAGGGCTTTGGGGTTAAACTAGACTTTGATCCTGACTACCAGTTTCTAGATTGAAAGGCCTTGGGCAAGTAGCATTGCTCCCTTGCTCCTTAGTGTCCTTGTATGGGGACAATAGCACCTACTTCATAGGTCATTGAATGAATGAGTGGAGTAATTCAGAGAGCCCTTAGGACAATGCCTGTGTCCTGGTGTTTGCTCTGTGGTTATCTGATAACTAATTTAGTGGCAGGCTCCAGGGGCAAGTCAGGGCCAAGTGTGTTCCCCAGAGAACATCTGGACACCCTCAGTGGCCTGTGGTGCGGGCAGGCTGCACTTCAGACAGCAGATCTTGCAGGACCCTCTTCTGGGGACTGAGGGCGGTCCTGCCCTAACTCCAAAGGATTCTACCAGCCCCAGCAGCCAGGTCTTTCTCCCCCACTGCAGGCACGGAGGCAGTTCCAGTCCCAGCTGGCTGACCTGCAGCAGTTGCCTGACATCCTCAAGATCACAGAGGCCAAGCTGGCAGAGTCAAGACCAGCTGCAGGGCTATGAGAGGAAGAACATTGACCTCACCACCATCATATCAGACCTGTGCAGCCGGGTAAGGGACTGGCAGAAAGGGTCCCACGAACTGGCCCGAGCAGGGGCCCGCCCACCAAGATGAGCTGCATGCCTCCCAAGGGAGGACCACTTCTTTCTCTTGGCTGCCGCTCTCTGACAGGAGTGAGCTCTCCTCAGTGCTGTGCAATAAAAGTCTGGTGTGCCACACGTCTCGCGTTTGCACAGTGATTGTGGTCACAGGAGCCACCGCTGCCCTGCTGTCACCCTGCCCTGGCGCTGCTCGTCTCCACCTGCCTCCGCTCTTTGCACGCTGCTGCTGCCCTCAGCCGAGCGCCCACAGACGGCAGGCCCCACGCCTTAGCATTTCTCTCCAACTGTCTCTTGCTGCTGCTGCCTTTCCCTGCTCTTAACAGACTTGCCTGAGATTCTGTCCTGCAAGAGGGCTCCCTCTGGGCTACTGGAGTCATACCTGTAGCTAAAGAAATCCTACATGTCTCTTCTGCAGTGTGACCTTGGGCAAGACCTTTCCCCTCTGTTGACCTGCTTCTTTGTAGTAATAATACAGTAGCTACCCTTTTTTGAGCATGTGCTCTGTGCTCCTGCACTCTGTCAATTAATTCTCCCAGAAGGTTGTGAGGTGGAGGTATTCTCTCTGTTTTTAAAGAAAGCAGCCGAAGGGGTGAGTAATTTCCTGAGGTCACAGAGCTAATGCTTAGTGAACAGGGCATGGAACCCACCATCTCTATCTGGTTCCCCAAGACCATGTTCTCAGTATTCTTGAATGCCTGCCTTCTATTGAACCTGGGCATTCTCAGGGCCTTTTGAGTCCTGATAGTGGAGGTTCTGCATAGAGCAGCCCTCTGGATGAACTGGCCAACCTGAAAGACTTGTCCTGATAGTGGAGGTTCTGCATAGAGCAGCCCTCTGGATGAACTGGCCAACCTGAAAGACTTGACAGATTTCCTATTTCCTGGCCCACACTTGTTCCCAGTTAAGGAGAGGATGGAATCGCTGGTACCAACAGCATAATTGCTAAAGCTCTGTGGGGTGTTGTGTGGGCCAGTTAGGCCTGCCATCTGCTTCTGCCTTATGTCCGCCCTGGATCCCACTGAGTGGCCTCCTCTGATCAAGAAAGTATTGCAATGGTTCTGGAGGATCGAAGCTGGCCTCTGCAGGTGTGGGAACGCCTTCGGTCACCGGACTGGGGCCTAACCTGTCCCTGCTCCTCTCTCCTCCAGGTTGTGCCCTGAGACCTGGACGCCTGCTGAGGGCCGTGTGCCTCTTTCCTGGGTGTGGATGACAGGTCACAGGGAGAAGGGAGGGCTGTTCCACAGTTCTTTCACAAACCAGTCTGTGTTCCTGTCATTTTAGATCGAACATCAGGGGGACAAGCTGGAGATGGCGAGAGAGAAACATCAGGCTTCCCAGAAGGAAAATAAACAGCTGAGTCTGAAGGTGAATGAACTGGAGAGGTTAGAGGCACCTGGTCCCATCTCTGTCCTCTTCCTAGGACCTGAGACTTTCAGCCACTTAGCTGCTTTGGGCTTAGTGTGCGGAAGTGTTTGAGGGATTCAAAGCCCTGGAAGGTACTAGGCAGACCTCAGAGGAGAGCTGCTTCCATTATGATGGTAAGCATTGTGCCAGAGGAGGGCAGTCTCTCAGCCAGGGGGACACTCCTTAGCAGTGCGATCAAGATCAGACCACCCTGAGGCACTGTCTGTCAGAGGGGTTCCATCCAGGCACACCAGCAGGGCCGGTATGCTGCAGAGTGGGGCATTTACCCCCCATATCTGCTCTCTTCCCGATCATCCTTCCCCAAGACCTTTCTGATATGATTCTTCACTGGTACTTAAGGACTATCGGAAGGTGTCAAGAGGTGAAGAATAGTCCTTTTGGAATCAGAATCCCTGGCCTTGGGTCCCAGCTTGGCCGCATAACCTGCATTGTGATTCTGATCAAACCATTTAATGCTTTTGAATCTGCTTACTCATCTTGAGATGGAGATCAAGGTGGGGATAACAAAAATCTAGCTCCTGGGGTTATTGTGCATCTTCAGTGAAATAATCCTTAGAGGGCTTATTACAATGCACGTTGCTTGACATACAGAAGTGCCCAATAGAGTTAGTGTATATTAGTTGGTATTATCCCAATTTTAAATATGAGGAAACTGAGTTCGGAGAGAGGTTAAGTGACTTGTCCACAGTCACCAGCTGCTACCTGGAAAACCTGCAGCTCAGGCCCCTAACCTCCTCCAGAGCTTTTAGCATCTGTAAAAGGAGGGCTGGAGCCTCAGTTTCTGAGGTGAAAAGGCCTGAGTTCCTAGCGGGGCTGTACGTACCTCAGGTGGCTCATGGGGCCTCCAGGCAGCGACCGGACTCAGTCTCCTCCCGGGCTCCATATTTGCTCTGTTCTGCTGGCCTCGAAGATGCAGCTGGATTCAGCAGGACTTGCAGGGTTCCTTTAACTGAAGGTGTTTTGGAAGTGCAGTTGGGACCTTGTGTGGGAAGTACATTGGGATGGCCACAACCGCACCATGACAGGTCACAGAAATCCCTTTGCTGAAGGAGCCGGCGGTGAGCGGGTGAAGCTCAGGGCGTGGGTTTTGGTGGCAGGCCTAGCAGCGCTACTGAACTTGGGCCGATGACTTTTACCTCTCTGTGGCTCAGTTAATTCATCTATAAAGTGGGGATAATGATGGAACCCACCTTCCATGTGGTGACACGCACGCTTAGCACGGCCCAAGGTACGTCTGTGCTTCCCTGCGTTTCAGACAGTCCTTGAACTTGCTGCTCCAGTTACCCAGTTCCTCGCCGCCGTGCTGATCAGCAGATTTCTTCGCTTTATTCCTGTGGTTCCTTGGAGATTCTGTCGTGAGGAGAGCCCTGGTCCAGGGGTGACTGGCAGCCCCCTGGCGGGGTGGAACAGACAGGCAAGGGTATGAGCAGGATCTAACTGAGTACTTTCACCTAGGAAACTGGAGGCGACCAGTGCCCAGAATATCGAGTTCCTACAGGTGATTGCCAAGAGAGAGGAGGCCATCCACCAGTCCCAGCTGCGGCTGGAGGACAAAACACGGGAATGTGGGACCCTGGCAAGGCAGCTGGAGGGCGCCATTGAAGATGCTAGGAGGCAGGTCAGTCTCAGTTGTTTTACCAACTAGCTCTGGGACCTTGGGCAAATTGCCTGTTTTCTCAGCCTATTTCCCCATCTGAAAAATGGGCATATAGTAGCAATACCCGCCTCATGGATTTGTCGTGAGTATCAAATAAGGACTTGGCACTTTATTCACCATCGCTCATTTAATTGGCACCAGCATGGAACTCTAGTTTACAACCTTAGATGATGACTGGTGGGCGTTGGGAGAAGGTGGTAGAGCTGTGCTGTAGAAGCTGCCCCCATAGTTGGCTCCCACCCTGAGGCCCAGAGAACTCCTCACAGTGACGTCCAAGGACTTCGTGTGAGACCAGACAGTGGGAGTGGCCCAGCCTTCTCTCTGCCAGGTGCTCCCATGTCAGGTCAGCCAGTCCCACCTCTGTGCTTCCTGGGCAGGTGGAGCAAACCAAGGAGCACGCAGTCACCAAGGAGCGTGCAGCTCAGAACAAAATTCTGGACCTGGAAACGCAGCTGAGCAGGACTAAAACCGAGCTCAGCCAGCTGCGGCGGAGCCGGGATGATGTGAGTCAGGCTGGTGGGCAGGGGCAGAAGAGAAGCAAGTGGATTGAGAGTTAGCTTCCTGAGGCCTCCAGGGCTAGGTGTTTGTTGTTTTTATGAACGTGACATGGTTTTATTTTTCTCCAATCACTGTCCCCATCCCTTAAGGATATCCCAGGCATATCTTTTTTATGCCTTTATTTAGATACCATTTACATACCATAAAATTCACTTCCAAAATCGTATAATTCAGTGGTGTTTACTGTACTCATAGAGTGGTGCAGTTATCACCACAATCGAGATTGAGAATATTTTCAGAAAGAAATAGTTTTCTTAGAACCGCGTACTGTTAGCAGTTACTCGCATCACCCTGCTCTCAGCCCCTGGCGACCGCCGGTGTCTGGCTTTGTCTGTCCCGGACATTTCCCACACTTGGCCCCCACTGTTTGTCCTTCAGGCTGACCGCCGCTACCAGAGCCGGCTGCAGGACCTGCAAGACCGCCTGGAGCAGTCGGAGAGCACCAGTCGCAGCATGCAGAACTACGTCCAGTTCCTCAAGTCGTCCTATGCCAACGTGTTTGGGGACAGTGCCTACACTACCTACCTGACCAGCTCTCCCATCCGCTCCCGATCTCCTCCTGCCTGAGGCTGCCAGTCTCGGGCCAGGAGCCTGATTGATACCATGGGATCTAAGGAGTTGCTAAAGCCATATTTGGAAAGCCTATAGGTTTTCTTCTCTCTCCCAGTGATGAAGTGTGTTCAGGATTTTGCCTTAGCTCCTGGCTTCAGAGAAGTCCCTAAGGCAGTGGGGGATGTAACAGAAACCACTGGCCCTCTCCTTTCTGACAGACCCGCCCGATGGAGGTTTTTGATTGCTTTGACAGGCCTTCAGTCTAACTACTGTTAAGGTACCAGAGGTCAGCTCGCCAAGGCTGCTCATCCCTTTCCTGAGAGGAAGTCTGGACTGGACTCTCCCGCGCAGTCTCTAGCAGTGCTCTTTTTAGGAATTTCTTGGGTTTTCTCTGACCTGAGCCAGCAGGAGCCTCCAACCAGAGGTCCTCACCACCCATCCTGGGCCGGGAGCATGTTGTTCCCTTGCTGTTTATTTCATAGGTTCGTGTTTACCCCAAGGCCCCCTTCCCTAGCCCACTGGGCACCTCGTGCCCAAGTTTCCTTGAGGCCACTTGCCCCCTGGCACTTAGGCTCGAGGGCTCCTGTCCAGTTGGCCTTTTAAAAGTATAATCCCAATCTCATTGATTTTTGTTTTTCTTTGCCAGGTTTGTATCTATGGACTGCATTTATTCTTGAAATATGTGTGTTGTTTTACAAAAAGCTTCTATAATCAATATTTGAGGCTCTGTTGCATGATTTCCTTTACCCACCCCATCCCTTTTCTAAAAATGATTAAGTCAAATGCTGCAGGAGACCAGTAAACATTTTTATGGCACTTGCTACACGGAACATGAGGTTTTTCCTTTATTTTTTGGCCAAAATCTATTCTTTTTCTTTGTGCGCCTTCATATCATAATCCTGAGATAAATGGAGAAAACAGCATTTGGGGGCAGACCACGTTAGCTGTTAGGAGGAAGTCAGGATGTTTATATACTACCATTTTAAAAATGTTAATGGTTTCTAAAAAGGTTATAGGCTATTTTTGTTTCCTTCACATTTTCCTGTACTTAAAAGAACGAACAAATTGCTTAGAGAGAACACATTTGGAGTTTGAACCCTAACCTTTCCATTCTAGCTGGTATCAGCTTTCTGGGTGATCCAGTCTTGTCCTCTCTAAGCCACTCTAATCAAGTCCAAAACCAAGAAAATTCTTCTCTGTCCTCAAAGGCAAGGGATCCCACCCACGCATCTGCATTTCACAACCAGAAACACCCACCCATCCCAAATTTGGGGGACATTTGTAGTTTCCAGCTTTTAATTTTGCCATGGGAGGTCATTGAAAAAACAACCATTTTTCAAACCAAAAAACAATTACTATTGCCACAAAACCTGGCCTGTTTTCACTCCCTTAACGCAAACAGACTTTTTACCAGCTGGTAGCAGTACTTGAACTTCGAATGTATGAGAAACCTTCCCAAGAAAGGACAGTTGGCAGATTTACACCAATGTGCGTGCGCATCTAATTTGTTTTAGTTTTGTCAGGGTAATGACACCCTCCTCAGTGCAGAGCACTGCTATTTATAACGTGGGTATGGAGAACCTCTCAGAGTCCATCGCCAGGACTCTCCCAACAACAATTTGTCTTTGTAAAATATTTTATTACAAAAAGCCCAGAGTTTGTAAAAAATTAAAAGCGGAAAAATGTTATATTGCTCCAGAGGCTTTTCCTTTCTACCTCAAGCTGAGAACCCATAAAATAGGCCAAAAGTTGAAGGGTCCTACCCAGTTAAAGCTCGTTTCTGGCCACGGTGAATTCCATAATGCAACTGTTGGGGGAGTACCGTTGTGTATTTTCCTCAGTCCTTGTCCCTGCAACAGAGAATTGAAGGGCAGAGACACAGTGAAGCAAAATAAAAGTTTTATTTAAAGTTACTGAGAAAGTACAGGTGACCTCAGAGAGAGGAGCATCCCAAAAGGTTGGAGAGAAACAGTTTGAGATTAAAAGGTTACACTCTTAGAAAGTGTGGGCGACTTCAGAGAGAGGAGCGCCCTGAGAGGTTGGGGATTCCCCCTTTTAAGGAATTTTTTTTTTCAGGACTATGACCAAGGGCTAGGGGTGTGGACTTGTTATGTGGTCTCAAGAATCTTTGATGAGACATTAAGTTTCTTATCAGTCCTCTAGTAATTCTGCAAAATTAGCTTAACACAAGAGATTTACTGCTCTGGTCCCCTCCCAGGATAATAGCTTCCTGGTTTGGGAGCTTGTTAATCAAGACCTTCTGCCCTTCCTCCAAAGTGGGCAGAGTTATTTGTTTGCTAAAGATATGTTAAGAATCTTCTTAAACGTCCTGGTTTTTTTTCAAAATGCAATTTTGGCTTTAAGGTGGGATCTCCCTGTTTTTATTATGCTGTTTATAGGTGTAAATCCGGGGAGAGGAAATCCCGGGGCAAAATATCTCTAAAAACCATTATCAGTCCAAGGGAGAAATAAAGTTTAAAATCCGTTTATTGCTCACAAACTGCAGTCTGGAGTCTGGGGCCGTTTTTCCTGCTCCAGCAGAAGCCAAAAACTGGTCCTTCCCCCACCTCTCAGGTACAGAGAAGCCCTCCTTGCTCAGGTAATTACGCATTGATAAGCAGATGAATTTCTCTCCACCCCTGAGGAATGATGCAAATGTCCTAAAGCCATACTTCTTTCCACCTCTGAACACCTATTGATATGCAGCTGTACTAAAGTCAGGCAAGATATTCAGGAAATGTTACAATTTTACCCACAGGCCAACCCTCCAGAAATCCCCTTACAGTTTACTTGGACCGGTCTTCCGACCAATCTAGTAACAAAGAATAGAAACAGCAATAAAATCTTGAGAATCCTCAAGCCGGAGGATTCAGCCTATGCAGATTCAATAAATGTATTTTTCAGCACAATCTCTCACTAAGCACAAAATGTTTCTGCACTTGTTTACTCATTCCTAACAACCATGCTAGATTGCTCACAAAACTTTTACCAAACATTAGACAAAGTCAAGCCTCTCTTTAAACATTTTTTTTTTCTTGACAACAGCAACACAATCATGATAATTCTCAAGCCAGAGGATTCGGCTAGGTTCAAAGTCTAATGCAGATTAAGTCCAAAACTCGTCCATCCCAGCCGTCACACAGCAGCTGCAGCCAGGGGGCGCATGCAGCCACAAGGACTGTAGAAGCAAATGACCATGATTGTGGGGGGCCACTTTGCTCTTATCCCCAGAATACACAGGAGGCCACCTTCCAGGCCTTTTCCCCAAGGTGCCAGAAGAGCCAGTCATCGCCAGTCCATGTGTTGAAATGTCCAAGGCCACATCCATTTTAATTCCTAATTGCTGCACCCATCCTTGCAATGCATGTCCAGTAAAGTGGGTGCCTTGATCACTCTCAATCACCAGTGACCGGCCATAGGCTGCAAAGAGACACTCGAGGCCCCTCTTGGTGGTTTGCTGATCTGCACAACGTGCAGGGCCCTCCTTCCGGGCTCAGCTGACTTCTTCAAAGATCAATTGGCAAGCCCCACCCATGGGCTACAGCCCACATGGTCTTTTGCCCCAAACGCTGATGTAGCCATTGGGACACATCAGAGGCAGGCTTTCCTTCTAGCCAGCGCACCCGGGCCAATGGTCTGCTTCATTATTCCCTGGGGATGCCAAAGGCAAATGGCCAGTCACATGATATACGGTAGGTGTCTGTGCCATGCCACTCCGTGGCCTTTCAGTCCAGTCTCTCACCCACCCCACATTGGGATAAGTGGTTATTACCTTGGTCGGAGCTTACCCAGCAATGGGCTCCATAGCCAGCAAGGCGCGGTACACAGCAGACAGTTGCTTCTCTGTCAAGATGTACCAGACCTCTGCTCCTTTCCGTAGTGGTGACCAGGCTCCAGGTGGCAGAAGCAGCAGCAGTGGCAGAAGCAGTAGCCTTAGGTTCGGGCCACAGGCTGGGGTTGGCGCGGCCAGCAGGAGCGGTGGTGCCTCCACGACTGTAAGGCTGGAGGCTCCAGGGGAAGGGGTGAGCCTGCTGGACAAGCTCAGGCCTCACCAAACAAGGCGAAGAGACCAACAGGTTCTGGTTTGACAACCTTCCAGAGGTTGATCAGACAACATTCCTAACTAAAGCCCTCCCCTAAGGTAGAAGAGTAGTGGTAACTTTCCAGTACCTGGCTAAAGGCCAATGAGAGACCCCCACATACCCTAGGCGAGCCAATCCCCGCACCCCTGTACACCTTTGCTCTCCCTCCCCCTGCCTTCTTTAAAAACTCGCTGCCTGCCCTGCTGAGTGTGACCTCCCCAGCCTGTGTTTCAGACCTGGGAACGTGACCCAGGAGTTGCGCTCAAATAAACTGCCTGGTCCTTTGTTGCCTCTCATTGCCTGCTTATTTCGACTAGAATTTATCTTATTTCGACTAGAATTCATCTTACAATGACCACATGACCTTTGGTGCGAGTGCCACTCCTCCCCATCATTTCTTGGGGTGGCCCTCCCAAAGGTCACACCCATTAAAACAGATTTCGGGTTCAGAGGAATCCTGCCAAATGAGCTAGAATATAAGTGTGGGGAGAGGAAATCCCAGGGCAAAATATCTCTAAAAACCATCTCCAAAATACCTCAGTCCAAGAGAGAAATAAAGTTTAAAATTCGTTTATTGCATACAAACTGCAGTCTAGGGCCGTTTCTCTATTTCCTGCTCCAGCAGAAGCCAAAAACCCGCCCTCCCCCTCACCTCTCAGGTACAGATAAGCCCTCCTAGCCCAGGTAATTACCCACTGATAATGAAATGAACTTCTCTTCATCCCTGAGGAATGGTACAAATGCACTAAAGCCATACTTCTTTCCACCTCTGAACGCCTATTGATATGCAGATGTACTAAACCCAGGCTAGCTAGTCTGGAAATGGTACAATTTTCCCCAAAATAGGTGGGCCTTTTAGCAGGCTAGGGTAAACCTTACAATGATCTAATTGACACAATGAAGACCTGGGCTGTGCTCAGATACTTCTCTTTATCTGGGGAATATTCAAACATTCAAGGCCAAGTTACTCTTGACCTTTTGAGCTTTAACTGATTAACTTTAACTCTGAGTCTTTTCTGGATTTCTAGTTATAACTGGTTAACTGAGTCCTTTCTAGGGAGCTTTACTGACCTTGTTCTCTTTCTTCCCTGCTCATATCTATTTTCCTGCCTAACACAACTAGCACCTTGATCCAGTTCTAACACATTTACATTAGCCTACAATCAAATATACTCATTAGCAGCCACCACCCATTTCCCCTTCCACCAGCCCCTGGCGACCAGTAATCAAGTCTCTATGGATTTATCGTTTCTGGACATTTAACATAAATGAAATCAAACAATATTGTAACCAGCTTCTTTTCACTTAGAAAAAATTTTCAAGGTTCATTCATGCTGTAGCATGTGTTTGTACTTCATTTTTGTGGCCTAGTAATATGTTGTATGGATACACCATGTTTTGTTTACTCATCAATTGATGGACATTTGGGTTTCCACTTTTTGATTATTATGAGAAATGCTGCTACGAACATTCTGTTCTGCAAGTTTTGTGTGGATGCACATTGCATCCTAGGTGAAGAGTGGCTGGTTCAATGGTAACTCTTTAACCACTGAGGACTGCCAGACTGTCTTCCACAGGGGCTGCCCCATTTTAGAGTCGACCAGCAGTGTATGAGGATTCCAGTTTCTCCACGTGCACAGCAATACATACTCGTTCTGCAATCTGGAGGCCGCAACCTTCAGAAGCTCCCTGCCTCAAGTACCTACAGAAAAACGACTATTAAAGGGCCAAACCCTGTGCGCAGGCGCGCTGGAAGACTGGCTGGGCGGCGGAGGCGGGCTGTAAGCCGGTAGGGGAGGGGTCGCGAGGGCGTGCCCCGGAAGCGGAAGCGTGCGCCAATTTGGGCGCCACTGACTCGAGCGTGTATGTTGTCTCAATCGGCGTAAACCGCAGGAGCCTTAGCCATGCCGTCGCAGGGCCGCTGTTGGGAGACCCTGGAGGCGCTGCGCAGTTCCGACAAAGGTCGCCTCTGCTACGACCGCGACTGGCCTCTGCGGGGCGAGGTGAGCGGTGGCGCTGGAGGGGGCGCTGGCCCTTCCGATCCCTCGCCACGGACCCCTGCCGTTAGATCCCTGCGCGTGTCCTGCCCGGGACCCCGTGCGTTCTTTCTAACCTGCATTTGTTTCTTGACTCCTGTGTGTGCCTCGCCCTTTCTACGGTTTCTGCCCTCTCCTGCCTATTCGAGTCTTTCGGGGGAGCTCTCCGTACTTTAGAGGTGCTTTTTTCTCTGAAGGCTTCGTTACTACCCGCAGCCAGACCAGTTCTGGCTCACAGGGTCAGTTAATTTGCTGTGCATCTCTTGTACTGGGCGATTCACGTTTTTAGCAGCGAACGGTAAAATTGACCTAACTTACTGCTGCCAGTGTAAAGACCAGATTTTTAGAAGACATCAGGCAGACAGGAATTGTTTAATGGTGGCGTGGTCACTGTTCCTAGGATTTGCAAAGCTCTATATTAGTATTAGAGCGTAGGGGTTAGGATGATGTAGAGGCAATTAAGGCATAATTCTTGTTCCGGAGTTGCTGATGATTTAGCTACAGATAGGAAGCGTTTGCCTGTCTTTTATGTCTTTGACAGTTTTAAAGAGTAGATACCTTACATTCTGTAGGAGAAATCCCAGTATGGATCTATCTGGTGTATACTCAGGATATTCATTCCTGGCAGGAATACCACAGATCATGATGCTGCGTTCTCAGTAAGTCACACCAGGAATCACAGATGCTTCAATCCATCCCCAGTACTGGAGATGCTAACCTTGATCACCAGGTTGCATTGGTATCTGCCAGATATGACCACCTAATTCATCAGTTTTCTCTTTGTAACTAATTAGTATTTTGTGGGGAGTTATTCCAAGATTACACTAGTATTATTTTCCCCATGAAACTTCCACCTTTAGCATTCATTAATGGTTTCTGCCTGAATCAGTAGCCTCTCTGCTGTAGCCAAATAGTGTTTATTTATATTCATCATTCCTTCTACACTTGTTAGCTGGCATTCTACCTTGACGAAGAGTTTTAATTATATCAGCATGGACTCCCGGGTTCCTGTTTTTTTAATGAGTATAATCCATTACTTGTGACCTTGTGCATGTGCATTTTCAATTTTGTGGCAAGTGTGTCTTATGGATACTCTGAATTGAGATTTCTAGGTCAGAAGGAAAACATAGATTTAGTTCTGTTATATACTGCCATGTTCACACACTTCTCCGAGAACCCCAATAATGGATGTATCAGTTTGCTTTCCAGTCAGCAATACATGATCTTGCCTGTTGGCCCATTGCCTTGCCAACAGATTGTGTTATTCTGATTTTTATTTATGCTTAGTTAATGGGTAAAAGTGAGATCTCAGGATAGTTTTGCAATCAAAATTGGATATTTTTTCATATTTTCAAGAGCCAGTTTTATTTGTGAATTGCTGGTATTGTGTCTTTTGCTCACTTTTCTTTTTAGGTTTCGGTATGTTGAAGTTTACAAGTTCTTTTATGTACTAGGAATAATAATAGCCCTTATCTGTATATGCATTGCTTTTTTCGCCCCTAATCTGTCAGTTTTTTCTGATTATGGCATTTTTGCTTTTTACATCTGAAACTTCAGCTCTGGGATTTATTTTGGTGTAAGGAATGAGAAAAAAAATGTCTCAACATTACTTCGACAATGTCTTTAAAATGAGCTTCATTACTGTTTAAAATGTGCATACAGCCTGTTTGCTTCTCTGTTCTGATTATTCTCCTTGGGTTTATTGTCCATGGGTTGTGTACCTCTGGTGCAGGTCACTATCTCCACCGCAGCATTATTGACCTTGTGGGCTGGGTTGGGTAAGTCTTCGTTGTCAGGGGTGCTTTATACGGTGTTTACCGGCATCCCTGGCCTCTTCCACTAGCTGCCGGTAGCACCCTCTCACTTGTGACAACCAAAAATGTTCCCAGGCATTGCTGTATGTCCCCTGGGGGGTAAAACTGACTGTACCTTGAGAACCACTGATCTAGGTAAAATAATTGTTTGCAGTTTTGTGTTTTTTTTTGAGACAATAGTAAGTATTTATTATCTTACAATTTCCATCAGTCAGAAATTCAGAAGAAGCTTGATGGGGTGGCTTTGGCTCCAGGCTACTCAGGACATTGCAGCCAAGATGCAGTCGAGAGACGGCAGTCAGCTGAAGTCTCGGATGATCTGCTTTCATTCTCATTCGCCTGCCTGTTAGGTCGGTGCTGGCTGTTATCAGGCCACAAACACAGGTTCATCAATACTTACACTTGCTCAGAGGGCTTCGTAAGTGTCTTCAAGACCTGTGTAATTTCTGTTGGTCAGAAATCTGGGCACAGCTTAGCTGGTTTCTTCTTGGTGCCTGTGACTCAGAATCTCCTCAGGATCGTAGCCAGGGCTGCAGGCGGCTCAGGGCTCAACCAGGCTAAGATCCGCATCCAGGCGAGCTCACATGGCTGTTGGCAGACCTCAAGGCCTCAGGGGCTATAGGCTGGAGACCCCAGTTCCTCTCCATGTGGGCCTCTATAGGGTAGCTGGCTTTTCCTCAGAGCCTGAGAAGAGCACGGGAACACAGCAAGGCAAAAGCAGAGTCTCTTTGTGACCCAACTTCAGAAGGGACGTCCATCATCTTTGTCGTATTCTGTTGTTCAGAACTGAGTCACTTCTCACTGGGTATAAGTGGCCCATAATCTGGTCAGGCTGCTGGGAACCCTGTAAGCAAGGTACCATGCCAGGTCTTCCAAGGGGCTTTGTTGGCAATCTTAGTTCTGTAAAGCGGTTCATATCTGAGTTTACGCACGTGTCTCTCAGGTGTGACATTCCAGTCAAAGCCTTGGTAATATAACCAGTGTTTATAATTGGTCCTCCCAAGTTATCCCAGATGAGCCCCAAAAATGATGCCGGGGTTCTTGTTCACAGAGCCAAAGAATGAACTTAGCAGTCAAGGTAGGAGAGCAAGGCAGAGGCTTTTATTTAGAGAGAAAGTGAGAGGACAGAGCTCCTGGCCCAGGCCAGGAGGGGACAAGAGAGCCCCCGTTTGCAGTTTTTGAGTAGTTATGTGTCAGGTACTGTTCTAGGTCCTTTATGTCTATTGCTAATTTAATCCTCCCCAAATCCATTGAGGTGGAGCCTTTACTATACCATTTAAGGAGTGATGAAGTTCAGGCACAGGGGGGTCAGATAACTTGCTCCCTGTCATGCAGCTGAATGGAATGCAGACACGGAATTCAGACCAAGACAGTTTGATTCCAAACTCAGTACTCTGGATCACTGTTACAATGTTTCTCCATATTTCCTGGTAATATTTTCCTGACATTGAGTACAGTTCTCAGCCAAAATGTGCTGTGTGCTTTAACTGCAGTTAAATGGTGTAAGTTTCTCTGGTTTAAAGCACTGTACACCAGACATCTTAGAGACAGTAGTTATAAATCCCACTTTGTTTAAGCCATTGCTTTTTACATAAGGAACTACTTTTTTATTGGAAATATAGTTGTATGCAATATTATATTGATTTCAGATGTACAGCGTAGTGACTCAGTAATTACAAACATGACTAAGTGCTCATTAGGTAAGTGTAGTCTCCCCCTCATTACTATTCCAAGATATTATACTGGCTATATTCTCTATGTTGCACTCCCATTCCTATGACTAAGTTATTTTATAATTTGAGGTTATGTTCTGTCCTATTTCATCTATCCTCCCAACCCCTCCTCTGTGGTAACCAACAGTCTGTTGTCAGTATTTATGGGTCTATTTCTTTCTGTTTGTTTTGTTTTTTGGATTCTACATTTAAGTGAAATCATGTGGCATTTGTCTTTCTCTGACTTATTTTGCTTAGCCTGATACTGAGACAGGGACCCTGGGTGTAGTCAGAGTAGGGTGAGGGCCTCCGGAAAAAGACTCCTACCAAAACTCCATATTAAACAGTTAAACAAAGACAGAGTCACATTAATTCTCTAAAGTAAAATATTAAACTAGGAATATAAACATTCTTCAGTGAAGATTAGTTAAAACTAAAAAGCCAGGAATAACCTGACCTGGAATGTTTGAATATCCCCCAGATAACAAAATACCTCAGCATAGGCCATGTCTTGTTTGCGTCAATTAAATGAGGCTATTGTAAAACTTACTTTAGTGGCTAAAAGGCCCAGTTTATCTTTAACTTTGCCCAGATGCCGCTTTTCCTGCTCCAGCCCTAATCAAGTCAGTAACTCAGCTCACCTTGAAAGCAACACAAGCAGCCTTGACTGATATACTCCCAAACCAAGAAACTGCTATTCTGAGAAAGGATCAAAGCAGTAAATTTCTTATGTTAACTCCGCAAAATAGTCTGAAAAACCGGTAAGAAACTTAGAGTCTCTTTGAAAATAAACACTTAGAGACCATCTGGTGGATCCACATCCCTCACTCTTGGTCTCTCAACTGCCTATAAACCCCCTAGACAACGCACCACCCCGGACTCTCTTGTCCCCTCCTGGCATAAGCCGGGAGCCCTGTTCTTTCACTTTATCTCTAAATAAAAGCCTGTACCTCGCTCTCCTACCTTGAGTGTTTGTGAAGCTCATTCTTCGGCTTCGTGAACAAGAACCCTGGCGTCAATACCCTTTAGGTCTATCCACGTTGTCACAAATGTCAGGATTTCCTGCTTTTGTACAGCTGAATAATATTGTGTATATGTGCAACATCATCTTTATCCATTCATTTCTCGGTAGATAACTTTGTTGCTTCCGTATCTTGCCTACTGTAAATATTGTGCAGTAAACATAGCTGTAATATATCTTTTCGAATTAGTGATCTTGTTGTCTTTGGGTTATTGCCCAGAAGTGGAATTGCTGAGTCTTACGGTATTTCTGTTTTTAGTTTTTTGAGGAACTTTGATATTGTTTTCCACAGTGGCTGCACCATTTACATGCCCAGCAACAGTGTAGGAGGGTTCCCTTTTCTCTGCATCCTCGCCAGCACTATTATTCATGTCTTTTGGGTAGTGGCCATTCTCACTGGCATGAGTTGGTACCTCATCG